CCCCCCCCCCCCCCCCCCCCCCCATGACCTACCAGAGGCCAAATATACACATCTCTGACTTCTGGCCTCTCATCCATTAAACTCTTTTGTTCTCAACCGTGTCTTTAGCTGCCGAATAGACCATACATCTTGGGCGTAAAAACAACAGTTCCTCCGTCCGTGCAATAATAAAACGTGACACAAAAAAAACGAGATCCACGAGCATGGAGCTACAACCATAATATTTATTCCATCACCAACAAACAAGGAAGAAAAATGGGAGACGGAGAGACGAACAGACGCAGTCCCCAACTTCCAAAATAAATGCCTCGAGGCGCAATTGGATGAGAATCGATTCCGAATTTTAAAATTTTAAATCCTCGTATAATCGAGGAGTTCGTGCCGATGTTAGAGATTTCCCATGTAGGCCGTGAGGAACAATACATGCATTGCGGCAAAAAAAAACTTGATGAACGTCGGGGCAATTAACGCCTGAACCGTATAATATATATTAAATCGAAGGCACTTTTACGATAAAAACCACACAGACTCGATGGCGGGTCCATCGTACGAAACACTCATCACGTGCTTCAAACGACATAAATACAAAAGGAACATTTATACCGAATTTTTTTTTTGAAGCTATGCACAGTTTGGCAGAACGGATCCTTCAGTCTGTCGGTTGGCCCATGCGAGTTCGCAGTCTTTTCGAGGAAATTTTTTTTTTTTCTGATAAAACCTTTTCTGAGCGGGGAAACTTGATTCGCGTGAGCAGATTCAAGGCATTCTCGCGACACGTTGGGAAGTGCCAAGAAAAAAAAAACCACTGGAATGCATCACTTTGTATCCAAGACGAAGCGGAAGAAAACGAAGACGCCTGCAGTTATTCCCGAATGAAAATCGTGGAAGAAAAAAAATTGGAGAGAATGGCAACGCGATAAGGTCACTTTGCTCACTTGACCCGGGCGGTGGGACGCTGCCGCAGGGCCGGCTCCTTCTTCGAGTACTGATCCGCCTCGGGGAGCTCGGAGACGTCGTCGTCGGAGGTGCGCTTCCCGTTCTCGTGGTCCTTCTTGCTCTTCTTCTCCGTCTGGCGGCGCTTGGCGGTGGTTGCGGCTTGCACGGCTGCTCGCTCCCGCATCCGCTTCAGGTGGAACGTGAAGAAGTTCCACATGAGCCACGCCTGGAGGAGGCACACGACCAGGAGGGTGTTGAGGCGGATCAGCGGGGTGTTGAAGTTCCCTCGGACGATGTCGATCCCCTGGTTCGGGGCCAGCGCCAACCCGTACCAGAACGTGAGCACCGACAGCACGACCGTGAGCAGTCGGATCGCGACGAACAGCACGTCCCACGCCCCGAACGCGTACCGTGCCGCCTTGTGCTGCTCCGCGAAGTGCAAGATCCTCGCGACGTGGAACACGCACTCCACGGCGTAGTGAGGCACCAAGAGGCAGAGGGCAACTCGCGTGAAGCAGAGGAGGTAAGCGCCCACCACGAGGAACAGCGAGACGAGCGACACCGTGATCTTATTCATCAGATCTTCCCTCTTCACCTTCTGGAAGTAGAGCTCCGGGAACTGGTGGAGGTAATAGGCCACCTGGGACACGAAGAAGAATTTGTAAGTGAAGGTCATGGCAGCGTGATGCGTGGGGTAGCCCTCCCACAGGTGCGAGATTCCGGGGATCAGCTTCTCCTTCATGATGATGTTCCCGCCCCACAGCGCCGAGACGACGTAGAAGATCAGGAGCTGCCCGGACTCGTTGAACTTGCGGTGGTTGATCTTCGAGAGATGCAGCTTCCGGTTCACCTTGTCCAGGAGGTACTCCTGGATCACGGCGTGGATGATGACGCAAATGAGAGTGTAGAAGAAGATGCACGAGAAATCCTTGGCCCCATACGAGTACCGATCGTCGTGATGGACCGCCTGCTCCGAGGTTGATTCCGCATGCTCCGGCAGGGTGGTGTTGTGGTGCAGGGCGACGAAGAGCGAGGCGAACGGGGCCGTTCCGTGGAACATGAGTCCGACGACGAACACCATCGCCACGCACGACACGATGTCGGCATGATTTTGAATTACGAATTCATGACTAAAAAAGGGAGGATTTTTAGTGGTTTGCCTTCGATTTTTCATTCCCATGTTGTGGGGGCTTTTCAGCACTTGGGTTAGAAGCTAGTTCGACTCCACCGGAGCTAGAGAGAAACGAGAAAAACATTCAGTAAGGTGACAAGGTTGCCGTAGACCTGAGCCAACCGTTAGGCAACTGCCTATCATGTATATGTCATCAAATGCTAGGCCTAGTCAACTGTTGCTTAAATTTACATTGGCTTTTAAATGAGCATTGAGTTAGATCCTTTAGATTTAATAAATAAACTCGACTGAGCAATGGTATAAATATTGCAACTAGCCTCTCAAAACACTCCTGAGCAGTAATTTAAAATTTAAATTAAGGAAAAATTATACTCTTTTGGAAGGTCTGGCATCCCCAAAGGACTACAAGCAGCCATCACATCATCCTGCACTTATCACATCGTAATCCATGAACCCCGATATCATACCAGAGTCTTCTGGTCATGCAGTATTACCATCCAATTCCTAGTATCAAGCCTTCATCAGTTTGGGATTCAAAAATATGATATAGAGCTACATGCATGGTGTCTGTGACATATGAACCAAAGGTCAGGATGTTCAGTTACATCATAAAATTATGCAACTGAACTTCCTGACCACATCTCACCTCCCCACCCAAAGGAGCCTCATAGATTAATTTCCATCCTGTATCAGAGGCATCTAATTCTAGGTCACAATCCTTCATCTCCATGAAACAAAGAGATGGAAGTGTACTCAGTCATGGTATGAATGAGTTTGCTGAATTTCCCATCACATGCACTCATGGCATCAGTAAGTCATCATCAGCCAAGCACAAATATCTTTCCAAGCTTGTGCTGTCTCATTTCATGCCAATTTGTGCACAAACAGGCAAGAATTGTGTGACTCTCCATGGGTTGACTTCATATCTTCTTACTGCATTCTGTAGCATTTGTTCTATGCATCAAATCTATACTTAATAGCACTACAGTATTGAGATGTACTGTTAAACTTCATGTGGTTTAAAATCTCTCACATTGCCTTGGTAGTTCAACACTCAACAGTGAATATGGATAATTTTCCAATCTTTTTTGCCTCAGCTTGCAAAAAAATCATGCAGCAAGAGGTCACTCATCAACAGCTACATTGGCAGCTCATTACCTTTAAATCCAAGAGGCTGATTACTGATCAGAAATGTGTAAAATGAGGCGAACAACTAACTTGAGGAGTATTTTGAATTAATACCAGGATTATGCTATATATAATTCAAAGAATATTCATCAATTTTTGGGGGGGAAATTCATGGTTGATCCATGAGGAGTTGGGCTGCTCAATTTGGTCAAATGCCCCAAAGAGCTCCATTATAGGTAAGTTATTATTCAAGTAAAACCTCCAGAGACTGCAAATGATAAATTTACATTAAAAAATTGAAACTAGGATATTTCCAGTGTATTATGAGTGTAATGTCATAACATCAGAACAGACTTTTAATTAAAACATTCATACCTGGAATATGTAAGCAAACACTACATTTAAATTTGTGGCTTGTCCAAAAAAAGATAAAAATGAATAAAGCTTAAATAAAGGAAATGAAATACATCACTGCTAATATAGCATGCACACAATAAAAGTTTCTGCAATAAAAGGAAGATCTTTAAGTTTGAATATTCTATAATAAGTGTTTAAATAAAAAGAATTGAATTTACTACCACCATTGATACCTGCGTTGACAAGGACATCCCAAGTTCCTGGAAATATATAAAAAAAGAAAATATTATAGGACTACCATATGAAACTCAAATGGTTTGTAACTCCAAAATGCAATCAAAATTTAAGACATACTTTTACTTTTTGACTAGCCCCCCCCTCTAAAATGAATTTAATAACTTTCACCAGTCCTGATAAAGATTTAATAAGGTTTTCAGAGGAGTGCAAAATCAGTCTGACTTTACTGCTGCAGTATGGCAAAGCTCTGAGAAAACATCTGGGGATAGTGTCAATTTGTCTTTGTGCTAGGTATAATTTCCCTAAAACATGATCCCATTTTGTAAATTTCCCCAGAAGAGCCCTGTTCCATTTTCCTTTATTGCCCAGCACTTCGTACTAAATGCAAATGACATGAGATATTTTAACCTAACATGGATGAAACTTGAGTTAAATGGGATTTTGGAGTCTTTTCTTGAAAGATCTTCGGCCAAGGTGTAGAGGGAGACTTCATTGTAGCATTGACAAGGGGAAAAACATGGCCTTCACTTCAAAAGCTATTAGTAGTTCAATATTTTCATAGGGGAACATCTTGATTTACACAGAACTGTTTACAAGACAGGAGCCAGTAATTTTAACAATCCAAAACAGCAAACTTCAGTGTCCTTGTCAAATCAAAGGCATGCATCAGTTTCGTAAAATGACGAACTTGATAGTTAATGTCTAACGCTCATGGATTATTGACAATTTTCGATTGTTTGATTTTAGAAAGCTGTACATTAGACTGAAGTACAACACTATGTTTCTGACCTGAAGAAGTGGGCGTGAAGGATTGAGTTTCACAAGTGTTTCTCTATACTCCTAAAAGATGCATATGGCATCCGATTTCGGCTTTTAAGGGGCCAAATCTAATGCACCCTCTTGAGGAGGTTGAAATACGCGATTGACCAACTGACTTAGGCCTAGGTCTCGTTATCACATGTAAGCCAGCTCGGCTCAACGTTAAAATGATACCAGACTGAAAGTGAAAGGCGTTGACAGGTGAAACTGCCACCCTGGAAAGAACCACGTCCACCTTCACGGCGCCGCCATGTCCAGAGCCACGTCGCTCTACAAGATCCCCTGTCCGCCCCGGCTTCGCGATAGTGCTCGATAGTGAAGCCGTATGAGCATGCCTCTGTCACAGATGGTAGCGCGAAACCATCGGGGAACAATGAATTAAGGTACTCCCTCCGTCCCGGCAGCAGGATCCACGAGGTGGGAACAATGACTGAAACGAATCGGTCTGCATCCGTGGACCGGGAGCGAGAAGTCATGGATTCTTCCATGCGAGCACGTGGAGGTTGCATGCCGCCTGATCCACTTTGTCCTGTTGGCCAAGACTTTCCTTTGTCTCAAAGAAAGTGTACAGCCCGTGTATCTACCGGAAGAAAATCGAGTTTGTCTTAAAAGCGATCCTATTTTTGAAACACTTTCTCGCGAGAGTCCTCTGTTGAGGGAAGAAATTCTCAAAATGGAAGTGAAAGGTGATTTATCACTGTCGACAGCCATGAAGGGCTTCGATCAGCACGTTGCATCCGTCATTGGTCAAGAGAACGTTTCATTCAGAAGCAGTGACTTGCCAATGTCATTACAGTGGTACAGGAAGACTACAGAGGGGCATGAGAACAACCCAGAAGAAGTCCTAGTTGTAATCCAAGTGGAGGAGTTCATAGACATGGTCAGGAAGAAAACATTTCAGGAACATCTACTTTCCATACAAATGCGCTTCGTTGGTAGCATTGGGTTTACTTGCCTTGTTTATGGTATTGAAACTTACTTGAAGAATCGGAAGAAACAGGCAAACAAGAAGCTGAGGCAAGCTGTGCTTGATGGTGAGTCAGGTCCTCGTGGTCATGATCTTGTATGGCAAAGGGAAGACTTTGAAGTTGCTCTCATGGAAGCTCAACTGACAACTAACTGGAGGTTTGTCATGGCTAATTCGTCTGAAGAACTTGCAAACATTGTCATGCACATGACGCGAGCATTCGAGAAACGTCCTTCTCGCCTGCAAGAACAGGAAAATCAGGCTTTTGGCTGGTTCACTGATGGTACCAAAGCAGTGAAGGTGAACAAGGGAGGGACAGGACTACGTAAACTGTGGCAGGAACAGATGAAACAGTTTCCTCTTGTGGGTGCTGAAGTCAGTAATGCCATCACCTCTGTTTATTCATCCCCACTCTCTCTATATGAAGCATATGAGAGATGCCCAACGGTTTCCCAGGCTCAGATGTTACTGGCTCCAATACAAGTCCGACGAGGTGCTGGGGTTCTGGTTCAGATGAGAAAAGTGGGACCAGAGCTCAGCAAGCGTGTCCATACTCTGTTCACCAGCAATGATGGAGAACTACCCCTCAGCCAGGAACAGTCAACCTGACATTCCAATTGAACTTTTTTGATACACTGCAAAATAAATTTTTAAAAAGCCTGAAATTAGGTATACTGCCTCCTTATTTTGAGCTGAATTCTAAGTCAAATTCAAGTATTCTATTTGTAGACTTATGCCCATATTATTTGTATTATGATAATTGCTAAGCACATTCATTGTAAGAAGTCTTTTGATGGTGTGACTCTTAATGTGAAGACTCACTTTTTTTGACCTGACAAGGACTTGCTGACTCCTGCCTACTACTTGGGCATGGTGATCATGACCATGAACATGATAGGGTTGGCATGTCAGTTACATTTTAAAATGTCTTGCAACATTATCAGCTATATTGATTGCTGATGGAGACACAAAAATGTTTAATTTCTTAGAAATAATCTCAGAGGCTCAGTTGTTCTTTTCAGAGACCGCTGTTGGAAGTATAAAAGAAGCAGACCTGGAGACATTTTCATGGCCAGTGCCAGACTCTATGATCAATTTTTGAAACTTCTTCAGAAATGGCCGGTTGATCAGAGCAAACGATCAAGGTGAGTTCCATAACTACAAGAGACTTGAGTAGCATAATCAGTGCCACTCTCATGCCAGTTTCAGATAGCTTCAGTTTATGGAAAACCATAGTAAAATTGCTAAGTTCAATGCAGAACATACTTTTAAGGAAAACTCCTAACTCTCTGTGTTTCAAGCTGATCTAGTCCAAGTGGCTTTGAGCTGATTTCATGCAACAATCAGATGAGAAATGTATGTTTTGTAAAGTTAGATAAATACAGCTTTTCAGTGATATGGAATTCATAATCATTGCTGACTTGTTTGATGAGAAGTTAGAGAAGGGAGAAGGAAATATACTAGCATAAGCATGTACTGGAAGTAAGGCAAAGTTTTTCCTTGAAATAACAAGTCACTGTTTATACCAGTCAAGCAGAACTAAGATAAAATAAGACTATTTAGACTTTGAGTATATGTTATCTCACTTGTAATGGGGTCCCAATAGGGGGACCATTATGGTCAGGATAAGTACCTTTTATGTGGGCTCTCAGTGCCTAACCAAGCCATCAGCCATGTAATTTTATGTCATTACAGAGACTTGGGAGAAGAGTTGAGGAGGGTGTTCACTGCAACATTTCCAAAAGGTGCCAACTCATCAGTTGATGTTGCTAAATGTGAAGAGACTGTGCAGAGCCTGAATCGCTTAGCCTCAGACTACTATCTTCAGAAGTACCCCCGAGCATCCAAGGTTTCAGCTTCTGGTTCGACTGTAGAAGAATGTCATCAGGTCATGTCGACTGATGCCCTTGAGCAACTTGACAAAGAAAACCAAAGCCTTTTGTCTAAAGTGTGGAAGGCAAAGGCTCCACTTCGAAAAAAGAGAGAATGAAGCCTGCTCTGAGGAAAGTTTTTGCCCTTGGAATCCAGGGAGTATTTTGTAAGAGGTATTCATCTGTACCCTTGCATGTAGGTGAAAGAAATAACAAGCCATTGCATGTGCCTGTGATGGCTCAGCAAGTTGTGGACTTTATAAACCCAAGGAAAAATGAAGTGATCCTTGACATGACTTTTGGTGCTGGAGGTCACTCAAAGTTGCTTCTTAATGCTGAGCCAACTTGTAAACTGATTGCAGTGGACCGAGATTCTGTTGCAATAAGACTAGCCATGGAATTGGCTGCTGAATATCCAGAGCAGGTGATCCCAATCCATGCTCGATTCAGTGAGCTGCCAGATCTGCTTCACTCACATGGATATGGACCAGAATCTATTGATGCAGTCCTGATTGACTGTGGATGTTCATCCATGCAGTTTGATGATGGTAGTCGGGGCTTCTCTTTGAGTAAAGAGGGTCCATTGGACATGCGGATGGATGGGGATCGATTCCCTGAACAGCCCACTGCTGCTGATGTTTTGCGACATGCAGATGAACGATCCCTTGCCAGGATGTTAAAAGTATATGGACAAGAGAAAAAAGCGAAAAAAATTGCCCGTGCACTAGTGGAACTTCGTTTCATGCTCCAGACCATAACAACCACCTCAGAACTTGCCCACTTTGTAAACTGTGTTATTGGAGGGGAAGAAAGGTTTGACCGTCTAGGTCGACCAGCCCATCTTGCCACCAAGACATTCCAGGCCCTCAGAATCTTTGTCAACAATGAGCTCAATGAACTTAACTGTGGGATGGATGTGGCACATAAATTTCTTAAGGTGAAAGGGAAGCTTGCTGTACTGACATTTCATTCACTCGAGGATACAATTGTGAAGCGACACCTTGTCGGCATAGACTTGGATGAACCCAAAGGAGCGAATCTGAATCAGAAGTACAAGAATGCAGCTGTGTGGCATTCCAAGGAGGCCATAGATGATTTGACAGCAAAGAAGTGGTTACCAGTGAATAAGCACGTCCTGACTCCTGATGAAAGTGAACTGTCTCAGAATCCACGCAGCAGATCTTGCAAGCTAAGGACAGCCTTAAAATTGATGTGATTCTTTCTCATCTTCTAGTATTGATAGTTGTATAAATTCAGTGTCAGAAAATAACGATTTCATTTCAGAAAAAATCACAACAAAGCACAGCAAGAATATGAGCAACATCACCATGGAAAATACAGTGGTAGTGTACCAGTACACATCCTCTGCAATTATTCATTTGACTGACAGAGGCAGCAAACATTACCTTATTCATATAATCTCAATAGCAGTACAGAAATAAGTTCTCAACATCCAGGAAAATGGAGCCTCATAAGTCCATTCATAAAGGCCAACATTATCACAGTTATATTCATTTTTTCCAACCTGAATGAGGAGCTAACATTGATCATTGTTTGAATGGTGAGGAATATAATCCTTTTTGCTCATGGAGGGAAGAACTTTCATGATAGCCAACCAGTTTACATGATCAGACACTTGATCTGTAGAAGAGAATTGAAATAATATAGAGCTTCTTTTGAGAAAGTTGAAGCTGGATCCTGTATTTCTTCTCAAGACACTACTTCTGACGACCTGACTACTTCTCATTGTTACCTTGCAGAATTCTGATGTTGAAAGTACTGTTTACAATGTAGTCAATAGCCATGATTTTCAGAGCATGAGGAAATGAAGTGAACCTGAGTCATTTGAAATTGAGATGATGGATGCATCCATCTTAATTTTGGTTTGTCTGAGCATAATGCTAATTGCAAATCAAAATAGTTCATTTTCAGCATCAGGATAGTTTCTTTTCATTGGGAGACTGTATTCTTCGGATCTCTTCAGAAGTGATGCCTGCCAGGTAGTATGATGCCACTATTGCAGCCAGCCCTTGCAGATCACCTGACCCAACAAAAAAATTTCACTGTAATTGAGGCAGGTACAGTTTTGAACAGATAAAACTTTATGGACTGTCCTTACTGGGATAAATGAATCTATGAAGAAACACATTCCCAATATCCCAACCGCCTAGGAAGTAAAAGTTGGAAAGGGAGGACATGATGTAGAGGGGAACACATGCAAGTGCCAGCAGCCTCCTTTCACAGTCCTCACTGATCTCCAGCCTCCTCTTCTATGAAGACACAGGAAGAGGTGTTGAAGGAAATTTAAAATGCAACTGCTAACAGTAATAGTACAAATAGCAGGGCTGGGCACATAAATGCACTTTTATTAACCATAAACTATTACTCTTCAGACTGGGTGATTATCCATTACAATTACCCTGAGCTTAAAAATAATACATTATTATTCATAATAATTACTTTTATTATATTAATCAAAGCTTGTTCTGAGATTATTGTTACATCAGCAAAAAACTGTAACTTACCAAGAGGTCTTGGATTGGACTCTGAAACGAATAATTTATGGAATTGACTGGAAAAACTGAAAAAACGATTTAACTTAGGCATGGGAGTTAAAGGGATAATTAAAACATTCATTTAATGCCCATCCCTGACAGGTAATTTCTTCAAAGTACATACAATAGTAACTTGATAGAGAGAGGAGGCAATAGCTTTCCTGCCCAGGATTTCTAACACAATTCCAGCAAAGTTGAGGCTTGCCCAGACTATGACAGCTGCTTCAGCTCCATGCCACATGCACACTGTCCCAAATGACAGCAAGGAGCCCGTAATCTGTCCTCGTATTCCTGGGAGCTCTTTCGTGCATGGCAGGTGAAGGTATCTGAAAAAAAATCCCTAATAGTTCTGTGCAAGTTGAGCTGAAGTTTGTGGATTACACACTCTTACACACTCACTGTCTAAGGAACCTATGGAGGCCATGATCAAAGTGTCTCCACATTTCAGAGTATCGTACAATGTGTGCAATGCATCTTGGAGGAGGTGGAGCATAGAAGCCATCCATCTGGGTCAAAGCAGATGCTGTTCCATAAAAGGTAAAGTACTTCAACATGAACATCTGACCAAGGAAGTAACCCAGCCCACAGAGGCTCCAATTATCCAGGTTCTCCACTAGATCTGGTCTCAGCCGCAAAGCATACAGATGTACATGATGGAGGAAGAACTCATAGACTAAGCACCACAAGATGGCACGGACCAAAAGCAAGCATGCAGAGGAGTGCCATGTTACTACCTCTCTCCTCATGATCTGGAAAGAATGCAAAAATACAATTTAAAATGGTACTGTAAGGAGTGAATAACAAGAATTTCATTATAACATGCATTGGATTGCAAAATTAAACTAAAACTATCTTGATCTTTGGTTAAGAGCAGAGATCCAAAGAGAAAAACTTGTACACACGTGCATTTTATAGTCAGTGAATAGGGTCAAAGGTCCTCCAATAGCCAGGGGGAAATAGAAAACATAGCCCAACTTCAAGGAGAGGTCAGTTAGTGACCAATGAGATCCCTCTTCTACTGAATCCAAGGAGAAGCTCAGGCAGCGCCCTGCAGTCCATGCAGTTGTGACCATGATGATGTATTCAACTTCATAGTCACCTTCTGTACTCTCAACCTAGAAAAAAGCTCAAATAAATATTCCTACCAAGAGCGTTACATTTTATAAATATTCCAGAATACCATATGGAACTCACAGAGAACATGTGGATTTGGCATAGCCACAAGGACACAAGAACAGCAAAGAATGTTGCATAAATAGTCAAAGAATTTCTGGATAGATGAATATAGTAAGCAAGAATTGCCTGTCCCAGTAGGATCACAGCCACCCAGGGCTGGAAGGACCATGTCAGGAATGCCAATGTGTAGATGAAATGGAAGCATGACAAGACCCACTGAAAGGAGAAAGAAAACTCTAAGAATGACAGGTGACATCATTGATGAGATGCATTATGTACTGCAGTACTCCATCTAACAGGAGGAGGTCTTCCTTGAGCAAGAAGACGTGTGATGACAGGGTGAAGGATGCTCCAGAGGATGCCATTCTTCATGATGGTAATCCAAGCTTCCCATTCGTAGTCATTGGAATCTCGAAGTCTTGATCCCAGCCAATCATTTCCAATGTCCAGATCGACTCTCAACATCTGACTGAGGTCTGCCCAAATTGCATGTAATCACCAGGGTAAGAATAAGCTAGAGTACTTGCATGACACCATAAATTTTCATACTTGCCTTTACTTGTCTTGATATACAAACGGAATACAGCATAGAGTAAGATGCTGATCCAAAGGCTTGAACATAACAAGATTTCCAAGAGCATCATGTTTTTTTTGTATGATGATCCTCACCATATCTCAAAACTAGCTCATCCATAGGCCAATGGTGCTCCTCTGCATAGTATGGGGGGAAAAAAGGTGCACTGAAGATACTTCAGAACAGATTGGGATGCTTTTCTAGGGATGTGAAACAAATTATTCTACTTATAAATTACAAGGGGTATCAAAAAATAAGGTTCCCTAATTTTTTGCTCCAAACTTATTTATTTTAGCAACCAAGACATCATGCATACAAATGAAGAAATACATAAACTATTTGTCAACATAGTTGCCACAATTATTCAAGCACTTTTACTATTTTGTGAGCTCTGATAGTTTTGTGTAAAAAAAAAAAATAGGGAACCTTATTATTTGATATGCCCTCATACATATCCATCAGAATTTAAATTAACATAGGATTGAGTTCTCTCCAATGAAATGCAATGAATTTTGGCATAACTATATACTCTGACCTACTGGTTATAACATTGAAAAATCAACAAATGTGGATTTGGGAAGTCCTAATTCCAGAGTATGTATTCTTTTTCTTATAAATCATGTTGTCCATTGTCCTACCTGTACCTAATTTGTGTCATTTGACCATAATAATAATCCTGGATCCTTATCTTAATCATTAGTGTCATCATGAACCAACCTCACATTAGTTTGTTGTGCATCCTCAAGTTGCAGGCTCTTGGATGGGCCTAAGCCCAGCTTATAGGAAAATACAATGTTCTTGAGTTTCTCAATGAGCTTGCATGCTTAATTAAAATTAAACCGGTAAAAAAGATCGTTCCATGAACAGAATAGGCCTAGGCCCCCCAAATAAAGGAAAAACTAATGCTCAAGCTACAATTGAGTATGGCAAGCCCACGACGTGGCATAGACGTCAGCGTAAGTCCCGCCACACCAGACACGAGGAGTGTGGCATGGACATGTGTTGACCGACCGCGATCTCATTGGTGGGAGGCGGTAGCATGTCTGGTTTAATTGACGGCGCTAAGCAGACTTGCTGCATTTTAGTCTGCCGGTATTATACAGACTCAGTTCGAATAAATGCCGAGAGATGGCAGGAGATGATAAGTATTATGGTGGTCTCCAGGAGTTCGATGCAACGGCGGGAAGTCAGCAGTGTAACATTAGCTCACAACTTGTACAGCTACTAGCATCAGCTTGCAGCTCAAAAGTATCTCTTGCATTCTGCTTCAGAAGATATAAGCTCTAAGTTGAAGGCATGGGCGTAATAGAAGCTCATTATTAAAGTAAACATGAAAAAGGAGCTATTTGTTTGTCTGACTACAAATACCCTAGCCGAACAACCATGCTGCTGCATTCTCATTCATTCGCACGCGTGGTGTCATGGCAAATGAAAGCACATAGGCCTACACTTCTTGAGCGTACTCCTTCACCAGATGTTGAAATAGAACAGAACTTTTCTGGGGAAGGTCAAGTGAGCAAGCTTTCAGTAATGTGCAGCCGAAAATAAGATGTTGGCTTGCCCGACACCTTCCTGATTATGTTGACTAGCAGCTGAGCTGAATGGTATACAATTAAAACATTTGTGAAAATTGATCTACCATATGAGCCTAGGCCTGCCCTCATTGAGTTCTCCAAGTAGCATGCTTTGTAATATACCAGGCAGAAGGCTTTCTTATTTCATTATATTGGTAAAACTAGTTGGGAGAAAGGTTAAACTGATAAATATCTTGATAGTATAGTTATTTAATTCAAGAACAGATTGGTAGAATACTGTTTATTTTTTTTCCCAGTCTTGCCTTAGAGTGAAGTTGTTATAGATGACTAGATTCATAAAGAGGTAAAGTGAACCTTTGAATGCCAGTCATGCTGGACTTCCCACGGATGGCTTCATGACTTTTTGTGCATGGGTGGAAAAAGCTGTTTTCAATTTGTAGATCATTAATACAAAGCTATGGAGTTACATTGGTAAATCTACCACCTATTGAGAGGAGAGCATACTTCCCTTAATTTGTATGGAATGATAGGTAGGAGGAAACTTATGATGGAAGGTTCCGATGTGTTTACGCTATTGTTAGAAGATATAGCAATTTAATTGAATATGCATGAAAGAGGGGTTCATGGGTTCCCACAAAATATTACTGGAATTTGCTTATGGTCAGTATTTCCTGAGGTTACAGTATGTAACCATTTATTGCATGACTGGGAATACGCACACTGTCTATCCTAGCCTCTGTTCTAACCCCATCCTGTGCAACCTCTGTCCCTTCCACCCATAAGATTTCATAATTTAATCAATTCTGTAATCACTTCAGAGCTAGAGATTCAGACTAATGTTTCACCAGCTTTTTTGGGTTTTCATTAAACCCAAGTGCACCGTGTAGAGCTAACTATAAACACATACCAAGGGAGCTGTATTCCTTCTATGTTGGGTCAAAAGAGTGAGAAAGTCAACCTATTTTGGCCTTTGACCCTGAACTGGTTATTTACAACTGGACCTCTGGCCCAGTTACCATCTACGTTTGCCTTCATTGAATACAGTGTGCAGGCCCTGTGGCAACATGGTGCTCTGTGCCTGTTCAGCTTGATCAAAATCTGCAGCATATTACTGATGTCAGTACTCCTCCTATACCCAACATTACGTAAAACCTGTAGCAATTCACCTAAGCACATGACCATAGCATTTATATAAAGTAAAAATTTATTTGAATATATCAAGTTTCATTGGCCTGGGAAGTGATACCTCAGCTGTTAGTTCAGCTGGCAGTAATGAAAAGTCAAGATGATGCATGTAAACATAAACATTGCTAGCTGTTAGTATTTCACTAGTGTCAGGATAATTTCTGTCAAAACATGATTTGATGTAGACACATTGCAATTTTCTGTGCATGAATGTCCTAGTCCTAGATATGCCATTTCAAGGAAATTCTTATGAAAAAATAGGTGCATCATTGATAGCTGGAATGACTAACATTACAGTGCTCATCTGCCTTGGTCACTTTAAAGTCAAATAACATTGTTGGTCACTTTCAATTCCAATGACATTGACTTTGTTGGTATTGTTATTGAAGTCATTTATTTATTCTCAACACTGCTCATGTTGGTCTTAACTGTGTAGGAGCTGCAAAGGCATAGCTCTGTAGGTTTCATGGGTTATTTATATCTAGGGGACTCTCACTGGCAAATAAAGGGATTGTCATTCATGGTCAACAGAATTGTCCCTTATAAAATTTGTAAGGATTGGCCTTTAAATATAGAAACTAATTCTATCTCTTGCAGAGTCTTTGAAATTTCAATGTGTGCTGATACAACAGCAACAGGTATTTTATAAGTACCAGTACATTTGCAATGCAAATGAAGTGAATTATTGCACCATATAATTTAAATTCCTGGTATCAGTGCTAATCATACCAGCTTGTTTTCACTACTATAAAGTTAAGTTGTATTGACAGATGCCTGATCCATAATTTCAACTGTTCATGTTGCTATTCTCCAAGAGTCCCATATTCTATTTTAGAAAACATATTTCATACCATGCAGGGCCCCTAGGTTGTGAATAAAGTTCTCAAAAACCAACTGCAAATTTCTGGTTGTAGAAAGAACATGATCCATACTTAATTTTACAGATGAAAAGGAAGAAATTCAGCCTTGCTATGGAATCAGCAATGCCACTCAGGAAAATGAGACTGCTTAAATTGGATGCCAAAAATGAACAGGAAAATTATGATTCTGCTCAGGTGATACAGGAAATTCCCATCAATGTGACTGAGGTATGTCCATCCCACTTGTGGGTGGGAGGTCTTCTGTGTTTTACTTATCAATCATGCATGGTGCACAAGGTCAATTTTTGTTTCAGTGTCTTCTGGGAAGATGCAGGGAGGCCACATATGTCATTGGCCATGCAGAAATATCTAGACGTCATTGTATGTTGACTTGCACTTTAGAAGGAAAGTGGTACCTTCATGACTTGGTGAGTTATGTGGCAAATGTCTTACTTAGCATTCTTAAGGGGGAGTTGGCCAGAATAGAATACTCCACATGTATTTTCACCCATTTACTCTTCAGGTTGACTGAATGTTGGATGCTACAGAAAGCACAATGCACTGAATATTTATTTTTCATACACCTGGTACTTATGGCTTACCTATTGCAGAGCATGAATGGGACATTCCTGAACAACCAACCTGTGAATAAGGATAGCCCAGTTCCCGTCCTTGATGGAGATGTGATCACCCTTGGAATTGAGTCCAAGCATTTTTTCCGTGTTGCAATCTGTGATAACCGCTCTGACAATGAACCCAAGGAGAAGAAAATACGACTGGCAGGAGATGTAGATCCTCAGGAGAGAAGAAAAAAGGATGCTCGGGAGGAGTTTGATGCTCGTATTTCCCAGGAAAAACGGGTCCTTGAGAGCCGGCTGAGAGAAGCACAAAGCAAGGCAGAAGACAACGTGAAGAGTAGTGTTGCAGTGTGCAAACAACTAGAGACTGAAAGGGGAGAACTCAGAGAAAAGCTCTCCAGGAAGCAGCAAGAACTTGATGACCGCTTCAAAGGTAGTCTAAGATTTTTGTCACCTTTTCTATATCCTCAGCCAGTTATCCTTCATTGTCTCTTGTTTTGAAGGAGAAACACAGTGCTTGGAAGCAGAGATCCTGGAAGAATCCCAATTAGTGAAGAAACTTCAGGAATTGGAGGAAAGAAGGCAGAAGGAAAAACAGGAACTTGAACACCAATTCGCCAGGCGCCAATCAGAATGTGAAGAATGGCTTCGAGTTGAACGTGAGAAGATGGTACGACTCCAAGAGGAACAGAAGCATCTTGTTGCACAGCTCACATCAGAAAAGGATCAACTCATTCAGAGATTGGAGAAGGAAAGGGATGACCTGTTGGAGCGACTAGAAATTGAAGGCACAGAGATGCAAAAAACATTTGAGGACAAAATCAGAGTGAGACATCCATCATCCATTCATTTTAACCTTTTCTTTCTTGGAGAGTTTTGTTCTTCATTATTTGATAACTTCATGTAAATATGAAAGGAGGAGAGAACTGCACTGGAGACGCGGCTGGATGGGGAGCGGAAGGCCATGAACCAACGGTTGAGTGAGGGAGTGTTGGAACGAGAACGTTTGCAGAAGGAGAAGGAGGAGCTGGAGAAGAAGATGGAGGAGGAGAGGCAGAAAAAGAGAGACATGGAAACAGAAATGGAGAAAATGAGGGCACTGCTAGCAGAAAAGGAGGCCTCTGCTTATCGTCTCTCTGAGGAGGTGCAGCAGAGAGACAAAGAAATGGTATGTGTTATCCTTTTTACATTTGCCATAGTTGGTATCTTGATTACAAAGTGGTACTACCCTTATAGGCAAAGATTCGAACTGAGAAAGAGGCCTTTATTGCTGAAATGGAGCGCTCAGTGAAGGACCTCAAAGCAAGGAAGGACAAGCTGGAGGAGGACAAGCTGAAGCTTGAACAAAATCTTATCCGTAAGCTTATGTTAGACATGTATACATCATTAAAAATCCAACACTTATTTTGCAGAATGCTTACTTTCATGTTTTTATGCTGGATTATAGAGGAAAAGTGTTCCAAGGAAAAGATACGAGAGCTGGAGGATGAGTTGAAGTCAGTGAAGAAGCAGGAAGCCACCTTGAGGACTGGCTTAGCTCAGACAAAAAGCAATAACAAGTGGCTTGAAGATGCAATGGAGACTGAACTCCAGTGTCCCATATGCAATGAACTGTTCATACAGGTTTGTCTCATTAGCAGATTTGAATGATTCAATTGCATCTTTTAATTATTGATGCAAAGTTCCCATGAGATTTTACTTGCACTGCACCAGTGCCTAGGATCAAGCATACTGCACTCAGACTGCTTACCCCTGAGGCATATTGTCAGCATGTGGTTTCAAGCAACATAAATGCCAGATGGAACATCCTGAATAAAAGAGAAAAGCTAGAATGACTGCAACAGCTGTGAACAACCACTGGTTTAGTCTCACATACCATTATACAGTATTTCATTGGAGGTATGGAATTGGTAGGAAGTGGTGCTCAATTGCAGTCTAAAGTTCTGGAAGTCTTAGTGTTGGAGGACAACCCTATACTCAAAATGATCAAGTGTATTAGGAGTGTACTTTTGATGTGTGATTGCCTGTGCTCTTCACTCTTTTTTCATCTACACTGGTCCAGACAACATCACTAACCATTTAATCAACTTAACCAGCTTGAATGAGGCAGATTAAAGGTATGCATCTACTGGATGTGGAGAAATCTACTTGCTGATGAGTAATGACTGGAAAGTAGATGAATAAGACCTAAAGCCTCATTGAATATGATTAAAAAAATGATCAATTAAGTTAAAAAATATATATCCTCATGTTTTGAAGGCAAGGAACTAAGCTAAGAAATCAGAAAACGGGGGGGGGGGGCTTGGGATATGACCTAATGTAGTGGTTTTCAACCTTTTCATTGACTTGTACCACATTTCTAGACCATGGCCTTGATTTTTGCAGCAAAAATAAATGAAATTCGTGTAAGTTATTCATGATTGAATTAAGAATAAAGTAAGGAAGATTTGAACATTTTCATAGTCTACTCAGTTATAGATATTTTTTTATTTACTGACATATGGAACTTCAAAAAATGTCATGCATACAAGAGGTAACAGCTAGAAGTACCAGTGCTGGTATGCTTGCCAGTGGTTGAAAATCACTGTCTTAATGACATGGACTCTCCTTGTTCCCACCAGTGCTAGGAACATATCCAGTATACATGAATGAAAGGAAACAGAAAAATTACTACTTTGCCTCAAAATCCACCTTTTAGTAATGACAAATGAGTGTCAGCTCAGTGGTGGTGCTAGTGGTAGTTGCACCAGTTTTCCACCAAAGCTTCATCCCTTGATGCTAAAACTTCTATTTTGCATCACACTTACACAAGCTGATGTATAACATTTCATTGTCATAGCTCAACATCTTGTCAAGCTGTCTTGGATTCAAGGTATCTCCAACATCCTGATGGATCTTTATTATGGGGGAACTAATAAAATTACTGGATGGCCAAAAAGTATCACTGACAGAAAAAGAAAATAGGAAAGTGACACTTTCATTTAGGTCACCCCTGATTCATCTGTGAGAGCTAATTCTGGACTAAAGGTGCAGCATTTGGAGATGAAATTGAGTGTAACACAGGTTAATTGTAATGGTGTCATTGGAATACATCAGGTGAATGCTCTCGATGCAATTGGAATAAAAACATGGTAATCATGAATTAGCCTTCATTGGTGTGTATCAATGCATTAATTTCAATTTTCCCTGATTTTTTGTGATGCATAATTTTTTTTTCAGGCTGTCACCTTGGATTGTGGTCACATTTTTTGCTCCATGTGCATTGAAATATGGTGCAAGAAGCACAGAACGTGTCCAGTATGTCGATGTGTGGTCACATCCCGCAATCGCCTTCTGATGGTGGACAGTTACATAGATCGCATGGTGTCAAATCTCCCCAATGAGATCCAGGAGAAGCGAAAGGGGGTCCTCCAAGAAAGAAAAGATGCTCTAGGTATATAAATCATTGCTAGATGCAATTGAGAAAAATTCCCAAATTTTGTCATTGAGCAGGATATTGGATTCCATGACTGGTTTGGTGAGCTGCAGCATACTTAATAACAGTTCTTATAATTCTTGCAATTTCATTCCTTAAAGGACTGATATACAAGACCTGCATTTGGGATGCATGAGATTTTAAATTAAGCTACAGAGAATTGTTGAATCAAAAAATTTTTTTTCTGCTTATGAAAGTAATCTTACTTAATGTTCAGTCTCAGAAAAAAAAAGGCTTGTTGTTATATAGTCAGTTAAAATGAGAAAGTGACAAGATTTTATGCAGTGGTATGCATACACATAGCATCTTTTGCAGAGGCTCAGCGAATCGCAGAGCAAACAGAAGCTGCAGAGCGTGCAGCCACACGTCGTGGAAGAGGACGTCGAGGAGCAAGGGCTGGAGCACGAAATCGGAGAGGGAGAGGAGCAGCACAGGCTCCAGCACCTCCACCTAGACAGGAAGTGCCTGATCCTATGGATGGCATTGATACCAATTCTGAATTCTATCAACGAGTGAGACGACGCATGTGGGAAATGCAGCAGGCCCAGATGCAAGCCCGTGCTGCTTTACTGGCAGCAGTGTCAAGCATGCCCGTACCCATTGCGCATGTCTCTGTTCCGGGAATCCCAGATGTTGCTGAGGAAGTGACAGTTCTTCATGATCAACCAGGTCCATCCCATGCTGATGTGATTCCACCCCAGCCTTCGACAAGTACTGCAGGTAGCAACACCACTCATGGGACGACAGAAGATCCCATCACCCTTTCTGACGAGGATAATGAGTTGTTGACAGAAGACAGGGGTAGTAGTTCTGATCCGGGGGTGCATTCTTCAGCTAGCAGTGAGGAGGGACTGCCCTGGGCTTATTATGGAGGCTATGGGCGTTGCTACAACTGTGGTTAGAGTTTTTTCAGTTTTTAAAATATTCCTGGTAAATCTATGTGAAAAATTTTCAGCCTTTTGAATGAATGCTTTTCAGGACATAGAGGACATTGGTCCAATGGTTGCCCTAACAGGTGAAAGAGTCAGCTGGTGTGATGGAGTTATTGATCTCACTGCACAATACCCTGTCCTTTGGCACCAAAGGTCTTCTCATCATCATTACAATCATGTGACTTTGACATTCAGCTGAAGGTGGTGATTACTCATGAAGTGCCTCTGGTTTTCCTGAATACCTAATACTCATAGCCAGACAGTTCAAAATCAATTGAGGAGTTCACTGGGATATGGGGCCCTCTTTCCAAATACGAATGCTTTGAATTCTGCAAGTCCTACTCTATGGAATTGGGGCCTCCATTTTCTCCCTAATCTGCAACAACAAAGTTGAATGTGAGCACATATTCTGTTATTTCAATTTTCTAATATGTCTGGACTTTGTGATATTATTTTGTCAATTATATCTATTGAGAGTTAGTATTCAGAAATTCTTTTCCAGGGAACTCCTCAGTTGGGATGGAGTGGATCAGAGTCAGTGCCTACTGATATTGGACACGATTCTGAGTTTTGTTGGACAGATATATTTACTGTTCGTGAGAAATTAGAGCAATAATTTTGCTTTGTTTTTTGTGTATTCCTTCCAAACTTGATCCACAATGTGTGTACAAGTTGGGACCACAGTTCAATCTCACCACCATTTTTCTTTTAGTGTTGCTCTCAAAATGCCATGAAAAATATAGGGGAAGTTTGTTCTATTCCGCAGTTCAGCACCACTGTGGAGTCAGCTGATGAAAGAGTAGAAAGGCATGCACAGAATGCTTGGATTCAACTTCACCCTGTGCATGCATGGATACATATGTATGTACTATACACAGTGAGCCAAAAAAAGCAAGCCAGTGAAAAATGCTACAGAAAACCATTGGCATTAAATACATGTCATTTGCTGCAATGAAAGGAAAGTCGATTCTGAAAATTCCTGTCAATTTTCAAGGTGGGGGAAGTTATATGACAGTATATTCATGAAAAGCAATGTCCAAAGTGACAGCTGCCTTCATGCCTTCCTCCTTCACTGTGCTATGCTGATGGATATTTGACTTAACTCTGTTTTACAGGAGTGAAACTTGTCAAGTGGATCCATGGTAATCTTGGGATCTATCTTGAACCTTTCATTGATGAGAGGTTCACTGAGGTCCACTGAGGAAGAATTTTCTTCACACAATATGATAAATCAATTTTTATTCAGCCATGAAACTGAAGGGAAAGTGTCCATACTCTGAAGGATGACAAAAAACAAACGACATACTGATCTTTTGTGTCACAATCACAGCATTGGGTGGTTATGCCATTTGCATATGTGATATATCCAAGCTGCACTTCGTCTCAAAGACATCAATGTACGATAATAACAATGAAATTCCAGGGGGGAAAGGATTTTGACTAGACAAGAGTGATCTGCTAAAAAGGTGGCAAGTGTTCAATCTTCTTTCTTGTCTTTAGAGCTCTTGGCAGCGCTTGGAACTTCCCCATTTGCAGCTGCAGCTGTATTTCCTTCTGCCTCTATTGCTGGTGTTTGTCCCCCTTGAGCTGCCTTCTCCAACTCTTCCTTAGAGAAACCAAACTCATTCACCCGGCTTGGGTCCACTCGATAGATGTAGCGCTGGTACAGGAAGATGAAGAACACAATATCTGCAATAGAATACAAGGGAGGTTAGACAAGAATGAGAAATGCACTTGTAAACATATACCACAATACTCACCATCTCGAAAGCAGCCGATCCTGTACATAGTAGGCATCTTGATGACAAAGGCAAAAATGTCATCGATGAATGTATTTAGAAACTTGTATGTCAGCATCCTCCATGGTAAGTGGGCAACCGATTTCATTTTGTAATTGATGAAGAGTTGAGGTGTCATCATGATGAACCCTAAAAATTTTTAGTTTTCAATAATTCCTGAACTCTACATTGTGAATAAAAATGGAAAATGCAGAAACCCACCAAAGGTGAGGAGGAATCCATAGAGCATAGAGAGGACAAAAGAGTACCAGCCCTTGTGCTCCAGATATAGCAGAGAGTAGATAGAATAGCATGCAAGGAGAGGGAATAGTGCCCATGAGAGATACTTGAATGCCATTTCATCAAAGCGCTTTGTTGAGCTCTCCACGTATGATCCCTTGTCTTGGAATGAGATCTTTGGGAAAATTCCAAATATCCGATTCTCTTGATTCATCTTGATATCAACCACCTGCAAGGTAACAATGTTTTTCTACTTTGGTACTCTTCATGAAAGCTGGGGAATGATGGAAAAAAAACAAGAGAGAAGACAAACTTTGTGGATCTTCCAGATTTCAATGAGGAGACCAATGCCTGTGGAGATTCGGACAATTGTGTTGGTCTCGTTGTCCAGCACATAGAGAACAACAATCAGTGCCTGGAAAACATTGAAGAACACAGACCGCACAGAAAGTCCCTCTAGGGATTGCTTGTTCTTCCAGAACTGGATATCTATGAGAAATAAAAAGATTAAAGTTGTATCATCATATTTTGTTAGATTGATAACAAAATATATCAATTCAAATGTGATGTAAAATATGTTCACTTCCTCACCATTCTTGAAGGCCAAGAACTCAAAGATGGTATGCAGGATTGAGATAGCAAAGGTTAGTCCAAGCAGATATGGAGAGGTCTCTAACAGAGCTTCTTTGAGAGAATCTTGGTCCTCATCTTCTTCCTCTGCCAATGAATCCCCTACAAGTGTGGCATTCACACACTCTCAAATGTACAGCTCAGATAAAACAAATGAATAATAGAGATCAAAACTTGAACTGAGAAAAGGCAAGTGAATACATTGTCTCTGACAGCCCACTCTATTAAATATAATAATTATAATGTTCCTACCCCTTATGCAGCAAACTACCAATACCTTACCAAGGAAGCCAGATGTCCAGCGACTCCTCATGTTCTGAGCAGAATACATCTGCCACTTAAAAAGGGAGATTGGTTGATAGGTAAGGTGGAGCTCCAAAATCCTGAAAGCAAATTTGTATATTATCAGTTTGAATAAGAAGAAAACTGCATTCAGCTTTTTCACAAAAGCCTTACTTGGCAGTCTCATTGATGGGCTGATATTCACGCAAGAGATTCCAGTATGTATTGAAGAAGACAATGGGCTTGTAGTGAGCTCCTCCTGATGTAAACTCAACATCTGTGATTATAAAATACAAGCCATAAAATTATATCCACAGGACCTGAAAGAAGTGTGTGTTCTTGTACTCACATTCATCCAGAGGAGGAGGGACAGCCCCCATTGTCCATGCTGTGTAGTCATTGACTATGTTCACTGTCAGGTTTGGATGCCAGTGGGATATTATTTCCACAGTTGACTCCTCTGCCTTCTGTACTCAAAAAAAAGGGACAAAATCTAATCAAATTGTATATAGTGGTACATATGAGCAGTATGGCTTGTATGAGCCTCTGGATAGCTTGATTGAACAATTTGAGTTTTTTAAATATACCATTTTAATTTATCCTATATATGGGGCCCTCTTGTTAACCCTAGACTCTGGAGGTGCTGCAGTGTATGAATGTACAGTAGATCCACACTGTTCTAGGATGAAAGGTTTAAGTGGGTGAACCAAACAACTGTGCAATAAGATGAAAACAATAATAAATAAGATTCCATAAAGCACAATAGGCAATGACTTGGCTCTCCATGGGCCAACACATTCCTTAGAAATTCAAGGAGAGCATACATGCCTTAACTGAATTCCAAAATATGTTGACTTGTGGATCATTCCCAAATGCCAAATGTTTCTTTGTAGTGTTGTGCCTTACTGAAGGCATTCTCCAGTGTCTAGACATCAGTCACCCAGTGCCTCATATTTCCCAATTTCAAGAAATGATTGCTATTCAACATATATATGATTTATGAAAAATACTATATTTTAACTTGTCTCAAATCCCATTGAAACCAGATCCCTGGGGTTATGACTAACTGCTTACTCAAGCAGTGAAGAGTGGGTTAATTTTCCTTTCATTTTAAAGATAAGTCATACTCTACAACCTGTCTATTTACAAAGGAAACTTATGAACCTAGTTTACAAACTAGAAGATCCAGTCATAATACCTTGACTTCTTCTGGAGATGCTGCAGTTTCTCCAGTGAGCAGATTCTGAGTCTTCCTAAAGCGACGCTTCTTGAATTTGTTCAGCTGGTGTGTCTGCTTGATGGTCATCTTATGTGAATACAATGAGCTTTGCTTTGGGTCGGGAGACTGTCCAGATGGTACGATGAACAGATGCAAAAACAGACTGCCATTATTTTGCACATTCTGGAATAGAAGGGCCACACAAACATTTTATGTTGCACAGGTCAAATCATTCTATCAGATACACATGGTGTGACATTAATTATTAAATTGTTCAAGTTTAGATGTATATTCAAGTCTGACTATATTAATAATATCTGCCAATGTTGGAATTCAGTATGCTGCATAACATAGCCTTGCCAGCTAAAGAGCTGAAGGTAGCATCAATTTGAAATTAACATGTTGGCGACAATGCGTCCTGATGCCAGATGGTACGATGAACAGATGCAAAAACAGACTGCCATTATTTTGCACATTCTGGAATAGAAGGGCCACACAAACATTTTATGTTGCACAGGTCAAATCATTCTATCAGATACACATGGTGTGACTATGATTTCATAATTACTGATAAAAATTCAACATTTTAAACAAACTCAGCAAAAAAATGTTTTCTGGGACCATGCGTCCTGATGGCAGGACGCATTTTTTGACAAAAAAAATTTGCGTGGTCCCACGCGGCGGACAAGCAAAAATAGGCTGGTTGTCAACGTGTTAAGTTCCAAAATATCTCAAACACTCACTAAATCTGCAAAAGGCTTGAGGGCACTTTTCAACACTTTCATTCCATCCATTGTACCATGCTAATTGATAGAACAATAAAATAGTCATGTTGAGATGGTTACCATGGATGCTTCAATCTGAAAGCTGCGAGTGAATGTCCCATCTCCACTTGGACCTCCAGTCCAGTCACCATAAACCAGATCCTCTTGGAGCCATAGTAAGGCCTGAGAGTTGTTGAAATCCTCAAAGTCTATATTTTCTGACAGGAACACATACATATCCTGCAGGAGAGGCAAAAAACCTGATTATAAAATAAAGTATTTGCTTGCAAATTGATTTATTAAGTATAAAGGAGAGAAATTTACAGTTAATGAATCTATATGCTATACCCAGAGACCTAAGCCTATTGATGTCCCTGTGTATACATACCATTGCAGTCCCATTGGAAAATATATTCACTGCAGGTTTTGGTGCATTTCCATCAGGAGTGACCTGCTGAGGCTGAGGCCTTCTGAAGAAGCTGGTAATGAAATAGATGAAGACAGCTCGTATAAGGAGGCCTTTGACAACACCAGAGAAAGTGAACCCTTGTTGCTGCTGCTCAGCATTTCCATCTGCTGCAGGTGCTGCAGCTGGAGCTGGAGCAACATCCTGCCCCCCCGTGTTGGACATCTGCAGCAATACGGATCTACCACAGTGACATCTAGCACAAAGTGAAACGTACTGCAAACCTAGAAGCAATAATATCGAATGAAGCACAACTCGATTCAGGATTATCACTCAGTCTATACCTAGCTTATACCTGTGGGCCATTTGGATTTGGGAGGACTTTGCCTAGGCCTATACACAATTCGTCTTGAAGACAGAACATAATAGAATATAAATAAATATAAATTTAATATTAACTTAATCATTTATCACACTGAGTTACAAAATTTTCAGATTGATTGGGTGTCATAATAGAATTTACATTTAAAGTTTACGTAGTAAATCCAAAAAGGTAAAAAGTGACTTAGAAGGAATCAATAAAGATTCAATGTACTTTTGATATAAGTATATGCTATGTGTGAGGCAAATCTAATCCTATTTGCAAGAGCTTAAATTTACAATGCCTCCCATACATCCTGATGAAATAAAATCACCACCTAAATGATATATTATGTAAGTGATCACCCAATAGCCTTGGCAGCATATCCACTGCTGCCCCTTGCTCCATTATCTTATCTCATTCACTCTGGATCTTTCTTCTCTTCCTGTTTTGCATGCATTGTCAGCCCAATGCCAAGGACACAAAATCAACAAAGTAGTTGATCTGTGACTTGGTAGGTAGCTGCATATTCCATAGCAGCTTCTTTAAAAATAAAACTAAGCCTACTTAAGATATGCCCAATATCCACTAAATGAAAGTGCAGTTCTCTCAAATTAAACTGACCTCCTTTTGAGATACAGTATTAAAGGAGAATAACCAAGAGCTTCAAGAACTTCCTAACTAGAGGCTGTTTGGCCTTACCAATTTGAGGGATTATAAAATCATGACTGAACAAATCCGTCTCGGATTGAACGAATCTCGACAGAACAAATCCGTCTCATCCCAACAGCACATGCATCAAATTTGGCCAATTGCCCACAATAAAAGCGCTATATTTCAAAGAAATAAAGACAATTCTGCCTCTTGCTGTCAGAGCTAAATTGGCGAACGGAAAAAAAAATAGATCGAATAGTGTAGCCCCACTGAAGGTACACATATATTAACCCAAGTCTACATAATTGGCAATTCCCTCGTGGGAAAGCCGCACGCCTGGAAACTAAGCGAAGACCATGTCTAAGTTGAGAAATTCCGTTGTCCTCCGCAAGTCCGTGTGCGAAAGTCAAACATAGTCACCACCTATATTCCGTCAGGCCTACATTCTCTCCAGCAAATTGAAACAATACAGAAATTTCAGGAGTTACACCAAAATCGGCTTCTCTTTTGACTATGCGTGCGGCTGAAAACTGATTACGCCATGATTAAATAAATGTTGTCGAGTCTCACAACTTCTGAGCTCCTTGCTTTATATAAAAACGAGCCTCCTGTAAGAAAATTCGTGTGTAATTTCTATTTGTGATAATTTAATGATAAATTTCTTCGTGATGTTTATATGAATGGAACAAAGAAACTCGGATGGAAGTCAGCGTTATTGATTGCGATGCCAAAGGATTGGCAACCGTATTAATTGTACCATGGCTACGCACAGAGAGCTTCACAACTCGATGCTGTGAACTGTTAAGCATCATGCGTTTCGCCGATGGCGGGGAAGAAATGGCTTGGAAGGGAACTCTTCCCCCTCCGATCAGTCCGAAATGTTATAGACTTCTTCCGGATTCAGCTGGAAGGTTCAGAAGAACCAAATCTCACCATCCTGTCCCTGGTGATTGGCTCGGCCGAAGTCGCTCTCACCAACAAATCCATTTCCAGCGAAAATGGACAGGATGTACAATATTCAGTGTCTTCGAGTTCACCAGGCGGGGAGTCCTCCTCTACCACATATAGATTGGCGGAGGAGAAGGAATCTCTGAGGCCAAGAAGAGTGGTGAATCTCCAAGAGGAAGTGATGCAGCTTGAGCTTGCTCATCTCAGCTCCTTATCCTCTAAATTTGAGGCGAGGATAAGGGCCAATGTTGACATTGTAGAGTGCTGTGGTGTGGGTTCTAAACACGCCACACGACAACTCATCAAACGCGTTGCTGACGTTCTCTGGAGTTCCCTCAGTCGCAGTTATTACAAGGATCGTCCACATATTCAGACTTTGTACAGTTACCTGACAGGTGAGAGGGAAACAGTCGTGAATTAAGTGTGAGGAAGCACTGAAATAGTCAACTGATACTATTTGCTTGTTTTTTCTAGGAAACAAATTGGACTGTTTTGGTGTTGCCTATGCAGTTGTGGCTGCTTGCCAGCTATTGGGATTTGATGATGTTCATCTTGCCTTGTCTGAAGATCATGCTTGGGTGATATTTGGAGAGAATGGGAATGAGTCTGCTGAAGTGACCTGGCATGGTAGGCTTAGTTCTCAGACTGTTTAAGAAATATAATGTTATTTTTCATCATGGCCCAAAACCTACTAGGTGGTCATAAAAAAAATATGTGGAATGTTGTCCAGTCAATATAAAACTTCATGGGGTCATGGAATCTCAGAGAAACTTGGTAAATTTAAAGGATATATTTTTGTTTCCATAGTGTATGACAGAATTTGATGGGATGAGGAAATAAGAATTTTTGGTAATATGTATTCAGATGCTTTTCTGAGTAGGCCTATGGGATTAGGGTTGCCACCCATTCATAATTAGTATGGACAGTTCATATTTCAGATGCAATGTCCATACTGCAAACTTGTCTTAATATGGACACTACTTCATCCATACTTTAAACTTGTTAAGATTTTTTAGTTAATAAAACTTAATAGCAGCTAAAACCATTATTTTCTTTGAGCCAGAGTAGTATGCCACACTCTTATAGCATCAATTGGTACTTTGGCTAAAGGTGGCTGTAGGTATTTGCTGCAGAACCACAAATGCAAGTATACTTCGTATATTTGTCCATATTTCCATGTCCACAGACCATATGTCCATATTTTGCTAATTTCAAAGGTGGCAACCCTATATGGGATTGATGACAAGATACTCGCATAACTAGTCTAGTTCAAACCTGTATGCTATAAAAAGAACAACATTTCTTGAAATCATTGAATGGCTTCCATTGATGAGAAATGCTGGTGAATATGACAACCTGTATTAGCATTTAAAAATTATGTTTTTGCAAAACAGTATGATTGTAGCAGCAGTTGAAGAGCTTGAGTTTCTGTTACTTTTCCAGAATATGTACCATTCTGTTTCTGCATGGGTTTTCATCCTGCAAGGGGTTCTGAAAGTTTATCTGAAATTTTTCTTAGAAGATTTTTGTGGTCACTTTTCAAAGCGTACCACTGTTTCTCATCCATATGAACATTATATGGGTCTGTGATTCCAGGGAAAGGGATTGAGGATAAAAGAGGACAGGCAGTGACAAATGAGCTGTCATTCAAGTCATGGCTGTACCTCAATGGTCACCCAGTCAAATGCTTGCATAGAAACATGGAAGTGGCTGCACTGCTTTCATCCATCAATCCTACCATCAACACCAATATGGACTCTTTGGAACTGGGCAGTCTTCAGCAAAATTTGCTTTGGATGCTCTATGACATGGGTAGCCTCAACATGTATCCTATGGGACTTGGTGAGCATCATGATTAGGAAGCAGGTGTTTGCAGTCAATGGGAAATAAATTAAATTAATGTCATTTCTTCTGATTTCAGGTTGCCTTGGGGACCTGGAAGAGATCTGCCCAACTCCTGGCAGGCCATCTTGTTTGGATCTGTTCCAGATGGCTATTGCTTGCTCCATTGAACACTACAATAATGGTATTGTATATCCTTACACCTACCTAGGTGGCTATTTCTACAGACAGCACCAATTTAAGGAAGCCCTGGATGCATGGAGCAAGGCCGCCCAGGTCATACGGACTTACAACTACAGTCGCGATGATGAAGAAGTCTACAAGGAGTTCCTTGAGATTGCCAATGATCTCATCCCCATTATGATGAAGGAGGCAAGCTCTGGTCACAATGCACGATCCATTGTGAAGGACCCAGAGTGCTTTGCACGCTTGTTGCAGTTCTATGATGGGCTGTGTCAATGGGAAGAAGATAGCCCAACTCCCATCTTGCACATTGGCTGGGCCAAACCCCTGGTGGCCACAATAGGAAAATTTGATTCAACAGTGCGTTCACATGTGCAGATCAATCCCCTTCGCATTGTGACTGATGAAACGGCACCCAGCTCTGATAGTGAGCACTCCCTTAGCACTTCCAATGAAATGCTACCATCTCCATCAGAGGAAGCACTGGGAAAGAGGACGATGGTGCTGCGAGGAAGCAAGGTGCTTGAGATCTCCCCAGACAGTGCGAGGAGATCTCGGAAACGTGGAACCACCGAGAAAGTGAATGTGGAAGCTGCACTTAGGAACACTGGCATTCCAACTGATCTGATCAAAGCAATAGAGGGACACATAGACCCCGCTGATCTCCTCATTCCGCCCAGTGTTAGGTTTGCATCCCTGGCAGCCTCGTGTGCAGAGAAAATCCTCAAGCCAAAGTTTTATCTTTCTAGTGAAGATTTATTTCTTGACGATTCCCTGTTGGAATCAAAGGCAGAAACAATGACTGTACCAGTGTCTGATTCACAGTCAGATGACTCTCAAGGGCTACTTGAGGAAGGAGATGAGCCAGAATATACTGATGAAGACAGAGGAGATCAGGAGCAAGAAGAAGAGGAGCATTACAGTTCCCATGAAATTCAAAGCAAACACCTGAAGGAGCAGGTAGGTGGAGGCTTGAATTTATTGAATGTCTCAGTGGAGGAAGATGAGGATGAGGTGGAAATAGAGAATGAGAATCGAAATGCTAACTCAGACTTGGGACTAGATAAGGTGTTCCTTCGCCGCCCAAGCATTGAGCTGCGCAGTCAGAAAATGCAGGGCATGAAGAATCTCCTCTTCTCAGAGAGACTCAATACTCATGCCATTCAGTTACAACTCACAGCTCAATCACAAGTTCAGGTGGCAAAGCGGTCTCGCTTCTCCACAGATGTTGAGCTCCAGTCCATTCCCCTCTCAAGCTTCTCCAAAGCCAAGAAAGCCAAAGCTGAATGATATAAGGAAGTTGCACTCTGCAGGTGATTCCATTTGAGAATGAGTCTGCTCAAAAATTTGCACAAATTATGTTTGATCACTTTTCATTGTAGATTGCATTTTTTTCAGACATTCAAAGTGGCATGCATTCAAGTTACCCTATCACTGATGCCTTGGGTTTCTTTTATGAGTCAAGGCTGCTTCCAGGCTTTCCCTTTCTGGTTCCATTTGATCATGTTACATGTTAAGCATGACAGTCCCATTCCATTCTTGTTGCAAATGTATGGAAGATCAAAAAACAGCAGCATTTACATCTGTGCCATTTAATGCTGAATATGTTGATCTCTGTCCAGTTACAAAGACGTGTAAAACTTGTCAAATTTTGGCAGATTTTTGGGCAGACATTTATTGTTTTGAAGCGCTTGCAATTGATATGTTGATGCCACAAAGCAAAAGTCAAAGGATTGGGGTCTGATTGATGCTGCATGCATCACATGATGTACACTTTTGTGTTGTCATTGTAAACAGTGTGCCATACTTTGAAAGACTTCATGTCTTAGTGAAGCAAGAATGTCATTTGTAGTTGGATTGTATGACTTTCATAATCTGCATTTGCAGAAATGCCAAATGAGCCACATGCTTCTAGTTTTCCCATCTGTGAAGCTCTGTGAGGAAAGTCTTCATTCTGATAGAGCCCTATAATGTTCATAACCTTTCTTTGGTTCTGGAGGACTTCAGGATTGAATTATTTTTATGCTGAAATGTTCTTAGCAGTGATTTCATAATGGAAGGTTTTTACCTTGCATTCTATGGTGAAGGATATTTCAGATTCAGATGTTTGATCTCTGACAAGGATTATCTGGAGAGAGCTGGCACTGTGATGTTGCTGACATGTTTCTAGTATTTTTGCTTGGTCTGCCGATGTGATAGGGGGGTGAGTGAGCAATGGCCCTGGGCTTGTACCTGACACAAGAATTGAAGTGAGGATATTTTTCTAGCCTCTCACTCCCATTATTTTTCTCATCCTTGTTAGCTTTTCATTGTAATGTATGGTTTGCATGCCTCCAATAATCTCATCATCCTCTTCAATCATTTTCAGCATCTGAGAATGGTCTGTGAATAGCCATAATTCATTGATTGTCAATAGTAGGAATGTTACAGATATTGTTTGAAATTGTAGTCATGGTGATATGATTTTTCAAAGCTTTTCTCTATTTCTGTGAGAAAAACTATTGTCACTGTTGGAAGTTTGTCACTTTGAGCTGAGAGATTAATAGAGCTGATGGATAGAAATTCAATATTTGTAGGCCCAATCCATAAAGTCCTCAGATTATTGCTCATGCAGGAATATTCCTATCTTATTCCAAAGATATTCAAGATGAAAACATAACAAAATTCTATGCATGTGGTCACAATTGTTCTTCCTCCAAGAAGTATTTTGACATTTGTCTCTTTCAGTTTGTACAGACCCTTCCTGGCCCTTACCAATACATTTCCTTGATGTTGTCAGTGGTGATTAAGAGTGAGACAGCCTTGCTGAAAGTGATCAGATTTGAATTAATGAAAATTCTTTCAATTGGATGGATTGAAAGGGTATTGTCGAGTATGTCTACTTTTGTAGGAGATTCTCAGCAAGAATCCTTTCCAGATTCAAAGCAAGCCTACTTTGGGAAGGGGGAACACCATAGGTGTCAGTGTTGTTAACTATGAATTTGGAATCTCTTCCAGATTTTTTGACTCTCTTCATGCTTGGGAATAGCATACATCTCAATGCTGCAGTCCATGTGTAAGGTTTCAGAATAAGTGTGGTTTGAGCTTCATTGCTCCTCGAGAACCGCTGTTGGAATAATTAGAAAAGACCTATTAACGTGGTTCTACTGTGAATTATGCTATGGGCTTCTAATGTTTTAGATGTTTTTTCCATGACAGCTTTTGATTTTTACAAGGAGATTCTATCTGAGTTGAGTGATACCACAATGGAAAGGTTTATGAATGAAGAAGGCTATTGTTTTCTCTGGAATTTTTCTCTTTTCATTTTTCTGGTGAATACTTCAAGCCTACCTGATCCTATTGGATGCAATGGAAATATACTGGTGTCATGAGGTCTCCCTCCAATGCATATATGCAGTATGAAAATGAGACTTTCTTCTCACATGGGAATTAATAATCCATCCCAAACATAAGCAGGTCAAGATGACGAAAAATCAACACGAAACGAAAGCTCCTTTTCACACGACAATGACTGATCCAGTTCACAATAACCAGGTAAAGATGATACAAGACTGGTTGACCACCAATAGTGCAATGTGATCTAGTTTCACTAGCCACTGCCACTGAAATCCCTCACTGCCACAGCTACATAATGAATTTTGAAGCACAGTCAAGAAAGAAAGAAATAAAGATGAACGAAGAAAGGGGGTGAGGAGACTCAGTTCCCACGTGCAGCTTGTTTCCGAAGCATCACATAGATTTTCTCCTTGATCCAACTCTTATTGAAGGGTGCATAGGTGTTGGTATTCCCTTGGTACCTATTAGGAAAAATAAAGGTAATGCATCATGCTCTGCTACATTGATTCCAAACTAGGTCTCAAAGGGCAACAGATTTAAAATTGCTTCATCAAATTTCATGAGTCCTATGTGAAATGCTTTGTTTTGAAAGTCTCTTTGTATTGTATTCTATCACGGCAGAGATAAAAGCTGTTACAAAGCATAGTATTCTGATCAAGGAATGCAAAATGTGCATATGAACTAGGAAGGAAGCATGTACACAAGATGGATATAATCCTCGCCAAAGGCACATTCAAAGCACTTACACAAGGCACGAGAGGTCAGTAAGTTGATCAATAAAGTCGAAGAGCTGAGCGATGTCATATGTGATGCTCGGAGTGTGGGGATTCTGCCTCTTCAAGTGCTCCTCATAAATCTTGCATACCCCTGTGAAAACCAACCAATAAAATTTCACTCCTACTCTTGTAAGCATATAAGGAGCTTCTTTCTATAAGTAGCAGCCATAAAATTGACGTTCCCTCAAGTGGGAAGAAAGGACATTGAAAATATCAGAACATACCTTCCATGCATTCAGCCACTGTCTCATAGTCACAATATGTCCTGGTTTCAGGTTTAGGTCCTGGCTGGATCAGCAAGATGGTATGCGACTGGGAGAGAGAGCAAATAACATTACCATGAAATATGAATTTATGGGTTATGTTTGCATTTGGGGTATTTCATGCCCACATAGCATACCTCATGCACATAGGCACAACATTCAGGAAACTCCATTTCAACATGAGATCCTGCAAGAGTTCTGGACATTGATCTTCCATGCATAAAAACACTTGACTTTAAGGCAAAAACAGGTAGAATAGATGGCTGCACTAATTAAATTATTAAAGTCATTTAGATTAATCTTCAGCAGAACATATGTCTGTACCAAATGCTAAGATACAAGGTAGGTCTTCTATCTGCACAGTGGTGCATCATTTTTTGTCTGTGTTATTCTGGTGTTCATAGTTTATAAAGGCCAAGTAGCTGTCATGTGAGAACATAAATTTCAATCTGAGCAGGACAAACTAGATTTAAATGCACAAGATATAAGGATTCTGGACTCATGAAGTTCCCAGATCCATACTAACTAGTTGGTATAGGTAGTCATTCAAAATCTAACATGTATCATAAGTCTCATTGTGATACATTGAATGAGTAGTGGTAGAAATATTGAGAAAAGAAGGCATGGTCAGAAAACAATATTCCAGTCATCCATTAAGATCACATATCCAGCCAATTCAGCATATAAATATAGATGTGCATGAAGGGTGTTTCACACTTCGTGTGTCATGCATCTTTTGTGTAGATGCTTGGGCAGGCAGGCAGATGCAAGCATACACATTTATGTCCACTTACATCCAAGGGCTTTCACAAAATGCAAGTCTTGCATTTTCAATTGAGCTCATCCCATTCCACATGCAAGCTTTGTGTTTTTGTGAAAACCCTTGAATGTAAGTGGATACATGTGTCTGCCTACCTGCCAAACCATTGATGGAAAGGATGCATGACATGCACGTGTGAAACAATCTTGAGACCAATTGTTCCATGTGAGTTCCTGCTTGTGCCATCATGTCTTGGACATATTCAACAGAAGCAGGGGCCTTTTTCACAAAACTTCTGTAACTTTTCTTTAACTTTATTTTGGCTATATTTTGACTTAACCTCTCTGAGAGCTATGGAAACTCTGCCCACCTGTGCATATTCTTAATAACATGCCCCAAGCATTGCATGTGCATTCTTTCTGCCACTTGTGACTTACTGCTCTCCGTATAAACACAATCATGGCTGCAAGGCTTCATCTAATTCAAAAGCAGCTTCATCCAGAAAGAGTACCTTTCAACCAAAACAGCCCCTTGGAAGTATACGACAACAAAGGACTCCGGAGCAGATTCAGACTCTCATGGAGCCTCATCTTGGATATCTGTGCCCTAGTCCAGGTGAAAATACAAAGGGGTGCTACCCATTGTGGAACACTACCAATCCAACTGATAGTATATGTGGCACTTTGATTCCTGGCCAGAGGCTCCATCTACTCCATGCTTGGTAATGGCCAAAGCCTCCCCATTCCTACCATATTAGTCATAGTCATTGTATACTTCAATGGGGCTATTTTGGTCATGAGGTACTCTTTCCTGATGAAGCCTTGTAGCCATGGTTGCATTCACATGGAGAGCGGTAAGTCACAAGTGGCAGAAAGAATGCACATGCAATGCTTGGGGCATGTTATTAAGAATACACACAGGTGGGCAGAGTTTCTGTAGCTCTCAGAGAGGTTAAAGTCAAGATAGAGATACCTCCAAAGATGTCTTTATTTTTCTTTATTTTGAGTCAGGATAAAGTCTAAATATAGCTGAAATAAAGTTAAAGAAGTTTGGTGAAAAAGGCCCCAGCACTCCTCTATATTTCCTCTAAATATGATACTGACCTATTGCACAAATGGCATATGGAAGCTTGAAACTCACTATCAAAGCCTAGGTTCATTGAAGCTGAGCCATGTTTACTTTACATGTGTGCAAACTTAATCCTGCACTGTGCATCCCCATGTGCAAAACTCCTTGGGTCATAAGTAGTTTTTTGTGGGTTTAAGCTACTTCTGGTTGTGTGAAGTCAATTCCGGCCTGATGAACCAAGCAGAGATTCTTCATTCCCCCCAAAATGTCGCCTTAAAGTTTATCCATAGATTGCTTTCTATAGCAAGAATGTAAGAATCAGTTTTTCTTGAGTGAAATTCTGCAAGGTTACACATTCCTCCTTCAAAAAAAGGAACCTTGAGAATGACAGGATCTCAATCTTGTGTTTTCTCTGAATTTGAAAAGTAAGAAATGGGAGACATATTCATTTACCCACTTTACTGCAGCAAAAATACCCCTGGATATCTCAAACCCTGGAATGTATTAAATGCATCAGGAGATCAAGTCAAGGGGAGCCAGGTTCTCCATAGCTATTGTCAACTGCTGATTACAGGTAGCCCTTTCCACATAAGATTGAAATGCACTAGAGCTGCTTTCTTGCTGATAGGTCTAGGCCTACTTGAAATAAATATTGAATTTACATCAGATTCATGCAGTCATATATCTGTACTCTCCAGAGCATAGGCCTATATGTTAGGAGTCAGTTTGAGGTGGTTAAAATAATGCTGAGAAGAATTAGGCCAAGCAATAAGTTTGTCAAAAGAAAGTTATTGTAGAAAAAGTGTTGAACTGGAATAACATTGACAAGAAAGATGCTGGTTTACTCCAAGCTATACATTCATTAAGGTTGACAAAGAATGACAATGACATTGAGAGAGCACACCCAGAATGGACCTGACTGGGAATAACCTCAAAGGAAAATATGTCAATGTGGAGAGAAGATGACAGCAGCCATATCTAGCAGAGAATCTGAAACTAGGTGTTGTGGAAAAAAGAGAACCAAACATGTCTTATGCTAAGGGGAATCATTTAGAATCATAAGAGATTCCACTTGAAATTGATTGCACAGTAATCTCATACAGATAAATTTACACATTGCTGATGTCAGATTCAAAGGAGGACTAGCTCACACTTTTCCTTAAAATTAAGATGTTGCATTTGAAATTCATAAAAATTCATGCCTTCATGTCTGCTACCTGCACCCTATTAAATGGGGTACCTTTTCACATTGTTTTACTACAGAGGAGTTCATACTCCTGCTGTATAGCAGATGCTTGGATGCTTTATACTTAGATGCTTGATGCAGTTTACAACAGTCCATTAACCCTTTCACGGTTTGAATACATATTTGGGTTACACATGCTGCTTGTGTAGACAGAGTATGAACTCAGGCTTTGATCACTGTTTCTAGGTTATTTCACTGTAATGTATACATGAAACTGCTATCTTCAATATTTCAATATTTTTCATGAAATGACATTTCAAGCATAAACCATTGTTTTCAGGTACATAGTCCCAATTTTTATAACATGAGGGGTGGCAGAACAATGAAAGGGTTAATGGACCAAAAAACTACAATTGTTTTCAGCATCTGCTGCCATGCATCTTCCACTGCAATATAAAAATATAGGAAAGGTTTCTGTTTGATCCAGCATGCCAAACAGCATGAACTTTTTGCTCTAGAGCATGTTGTTGCACTGGATTCAGAAGATTGCTGCTGAAAAGCAATCTTCTGAATGCATAGCAGATACAGATGAATTTAAAAAAAGGAAGCAAAAGCAAGAGGGAAAAGGAGCGAGAAATACATGAGAACTATGTCCTTTCTCAGGCCCCCCTTCACCTTTAGCCATACATGGTATGCCTATGAGTTGCAGCTTCCAGCATGTTGCACAGCATGAGTATAAACTTGGCCTTATCTACATGAAATCTGATGCAAACACTATTTAGTGGAGTGGAATGTTTGTAGAAACCTTCAATGTCATAAGTACATAGGGATGAGCTATTTTTCAGGGTGGAGGGGGTGCAAGAGGCATAACCCTTCCCTGAAGGCCTTATGCCACTTGCAGTCTATACTTAAATCTTTTGCATATTGATGTAAAAATGAAAATGCTAAGTAATTTTTCCTTGATGCAACTTCTTAAACGGTATAGTGTGTCATGAATGGACAGCTATATTAGTTGACAAAATAGTTCTCATTGTACACTCTTTAGTCTTGAGTGCATTTCTCATCAAACTCTTTGTCCCATATATTCATTCCCCTACACCATTCACATCAGTGTCTTTAAGAATTTCAATTCTTTACAGGTGTTCTTCCTGGCGACATCTTCATGTCGTTCACTGGCCGACGCACTTCCCAGTCGATCCAATTCATCAAACATTAATTTGCATATTCATGCATTTTTTTAGCCCAATTGTTGATAGCCTATAGCCCCTTAGATTAACAACCACCTGCATCTACACAAACCCATCATCACCTGATGCTAGCAGGGCTAACATTCTGGCCGAACATTTCGCTTCTATAAAAGTCCATTCTAACTAAGCCTTGATAGGCTACCATTTTCTCTCCAACGCTACACGAGCCCATTGGGTAAGCCTTCAGTGAAGATACTAGAGTTTTAGAAATTCGACCTCAACCAGCCTCTTACCATTTTTGGCAATTGATATGCGGTAATAGCAGAGATGCTCCTGCCGAATCTCCGGCTTCCAACGTAATTGATTCACAGAACACCGACTTCAGACGCTCATCACGCGGCGGATGCAAGTCTCCATCACGTTCACAGGGTTGCTAGATTTTATCACAGTTTCTCCCGCTCTTGCCTCAACTGCTAACATTTGCATCCCCAATGACTATATTGAACTCAGGCATTGGGGGAGGGAAAATTCAGCGGAGGTGTGGAAATTCTGTCGGTTACATAATCGATTTCGACTTATATTTATGCTTTAGGACCCAGGGTGAGTAAAATATGCCTTAATACGTTCAATCCTGACGAGAAATCTAATCCTCGACTAATACGTCGGAAGTAAATTAACAACAAAACCCTAACATTCATGAACGAAAAACTTTGTTTTGAATACCATAGTACATTATAAAAAAAAAAAACAAGTTACGAAATTGAATGTTGCTGCAAATCTGCGTCATCGGCGGTATTATAAACCTAAGCATTTGCTGAATGACGTATATGTGCGTCAGCGTTTTCCTCAAATTTTGAATTCATAAAGTTGTATATGTATACCGTAAATGCAATTCAGGACAAATTATATCAAAATTGAACACATTTTTTATTTATTAATACAACAGTATTCACTGTGGAAGCTCCACCCTTTTACAGACTTGCAGCAGGTTTCGAAGCATCTGCCGGATCACAACACCTTCGCTCAAACCTATTTTCTTGCATTCTGAGTAGTTTCGGACGAGAAACTCACTTCAAAACCCCGCTTCCCGAAACCCCGCTTCACCCGCGTTTCCATCAGCCGGTTCACGATCTCAGTGAACGAAGCGAGATGCTTCACGGAATGCCACTGCGCAGAAACCGAGCGCGCGGCCTAGAGGCGCACGTTTTATGCTAAGCCCCAAGCACTGAGCCCGAAACCCTAAGCTCTTTCGCCGAGAGAATCGAAGGCGTAGAAGCGGTAATACGTCATCAGCGCCCCTCGAAACTAGCCTTCGACGCACATCGGCAGCGAACGTATTAAAAAAGAAAAAGGCATAAAAGTGAATCTCGTAGTTGACCGTGTCAAAAAGTCATGCATCGATGGGAATCCTTTTTATTTCTGCTGGAGGTGAAAGAAGCGAACACAATGATTTAGATGTCTCCGGTGCACCGCATCGAATATCTGCTTCCGCTTGGGGACGAGTATCACACATTTCATAATGTATAGTCGAAATCGAGGAAATCGTGCAGATGCCGCTGCACCATCGCAACGTACGTGTTCTGGTTCACACTGGGAAAACCGGAGCCACACATCTCAGCCTTCGCTCGCGACATCCTTTTCCTTTCCAGGGATGAATGCTTCATCCCGACGGCCGCACTCACGCTCTCAAAACGAAGCGATAAGAGAAAGTCACTCGCCTCCCCTCAGTCAGGGGCGGATACAGGAATGTTTCAAAGGGGGGCGGTTCCAAAGTTCCTACCTACCCGAAACCCCCCCCCCTACCACCATTCCTCGTCCTTTCGCCTTTTTTATTTTTCGTCTGGGGTAAGAACTTGAGTATCTATTTTACGGGCTCCAATAAAATTTTATGCAGATGATATTTTGAATAAATAATAAAATGCTAACCTGGCCATAGTGGGGGGGGGGGGGGGGGGGGGGGGGGGGGGGGGGGGGGGGCGGTCGCCCCCCGCCCTGTATCCACCACTGCCCTCAGTCCTACCTCAATCCCGCTTTCAAGCCCCCTCCATCGCAACCCAGGTCAAGAGGCGACAGAGGAGGCTAGGCCACCGAACGAGGAGCATCAGCATGTCAGACGGACTCGAGACGGAGAAACCTTGGGGCCTGTGAGTCTTTGCTAAACTCGGTCCAAACTTGACTGGAAAGCAGTCGAAGGAATCTGGCTGTTTCTCACCTCGGTGCCGAATTAACGCTTTTACTTAATATTAGGTTTTGATTTAGATTAAGTTTGAATCGAGTAAGTGTCAAGGTATAAGTCCCTGGTCTGGGGGGCTTAGCATAAAACGTGCGCCTCTAGGCCGCGCGCTCGGTTTCTGCGCAGTGGCATTCCGTGAAGCATCTCGCTTCGTTCACTGAGATCGTGAACCGGCTGATGGAAACGCGGTCTCTCTGGATCCACCGCTGGAATCCTGATTATGATAGAGAGCTGAGAGGAATCCTACCGATCCTTCTACATTGATTTTCTTCGGTTTGGCCCTGTTTGTTTTCTTAGTGCCGTGGAAATTAGCTTCCTTATTTTCCTAGTTCTTGTTGCCTCGGCATAACACCTTCTCTTACCTTAATTTATGCTATTTTTTAAATTCCATATTTAGTGCGCCTACTTGGTTCGTATCGACGTTTTCATTTTGAACCGCTTTGGAAACATGCATGTTTCTGCGAACCGGAAACTGCTCGACTGATTTCAATGAAATCGATGAATTGAGTTGCCATAAAGCGAACCTTTTGAAACAATTTCGATAAATGAGGTTTCGTTTGTTCCATTCGATTGCTCAAAAAAAAAAAACAGGAACGATAAGATGTAGCTATTTTGCCGCAAGCCAATCTGAAACACAGAAAAGCTGGAAAACTGCTTTTGGCAAATTACGAGGGGTGCTCAATAAGCTCTCGGCCAGATTACTTTTTGAAAGGCAATCTGTCAAAAACGCATTGTTCCTCTGCGAACTTTCGAGCTTGTAGCTCTTTCTGATGCACGAGTAACAATAAGTTGTCTTGTATGAATGAATTTCCATGGATTTTCACAAATTTGATCCATGATCAAATTTTTGTTACATTGTTATTATCAAAGGAAGCCTCGTCTCCACAGACAACTCATAGGCGCCTGTTGAATTCCTACGAGGTTATGTGGTATCTCAGTGTTCCAACTATCTCGCACGAAAAGCGGGGACCGTGGCCCTCTGTGCCTCGTCGTTCGACCTGCTCATAAAGATTCGTTCGACGCAGATCCAGCAGACTTTTCCTCATGGATAGTTGAGATGAGACCATTGGAACCCAGAATCCAAGCAGCAGTCGGTGTGGGACTCGATTTCGGACTCGGTCGGCTGGCAAAGCCACGGCAGCGGTTTTCTTCAACGCTTCTGGAGTCGTTCACACGGACCATGTCGAGTTCCAAGCAGTTCGATCACGAGCCAGAATTATATCTCATTTTGCACGAGGATGCACCAGCTCACACGGCCGATGTTTCACAGATCTCCCACCATGATGCAAGAAGATTGGGTTCTACTGATACTTCTATGAAAAATCTGCAGGGATATCGACTTCTTAGAGGCTCCTTAGAAAATTCATCACAGCATTCATCCCAATTTTAATAGCCCTTCAGCAGACCCTTTGGTAGCACATTGAAAAAAATTCATAGAAGTCATCTTTTATCGACAAATAAGATGAAATTTCGCCAGTCAAATACATCTGTCTACTTATGAGAAGAGTAAGAACGGTGCATTGCAATTGCCTCAGACTAATATTTTTTTTTATCACCCCACGTACACTGCCGCATGTCGGTTGCCGTCGTGCCTCAAGTAAGTCATCCCTAAAGGTGATGGAAACTTTATGCAAATAGTATGATTGTTCGATTTGGTGCAGTCGTAAATACAAGAGGGGGACCCACCCAAAAGTATATATTTTTTAATTATGGACATATTGTAAATTCAGTACTAGAGACTTCCAAAACGCATTCTTCTGGAACAATGCGAGTCCATCACTTTAATATTCAGAATCGCCGAAGTACTTCTTGCTGCCAGCAAGTTTTATGCTAAGTAATTTTTTAACTGTAATTTAAGAAGTTTCAGAACTTCACATTAAGAAAATGTATGCTCTCAATCAAGATTAGGTCCTTATTCATTGATGGATGGATATTCCCTTTTTATTATAACATCAAGGCAGGTATATTCTACTTTGTCTTGGAGCACAGTTCCTACACATTTCAGCATATACACTTTTTTTCTCTTTCAATTTCTTCATTTGAACAAATTTCCTCATTTGCCAAGCCCACCCAGTTTTGGTTGGGCATTCATTTTCGTCACGAGTACTTTTTCATTCTCAATAATAAAAAAGGATCAAAGGTGATCCATAATTACCTAGGTGACCATTACTCAGGATTAGGAGATGCAAGAGGAAAGGGGTTTACCATTAACCACTAAGACGTGGGTGGCATGTGCATGTGCCAAATCCTATGGGTTTTGTTTTCCAGATCTGAGGAGGGCAAGTCCTGGAGTGAGTCTTGGCAAACTCTAACATGTTGGCTGCCATTGGCTATTGCGCCGTTATCACTGGCTGTGCCATGGCTTCCCCTAACTCTGGTGGCTTTAGACTGTTAACTTTTGAGATGAATGCATACAAGCTTTTGACCATCTGGATTCTTTCAAGAATCTGAAACACCTGTGATACAGGACCCAACATGTTAATCCAGATCATCACTGAGCTAACTTGTGCCCTCCAGGTTGAAGCCAGCATGCTCCACATCTGTGGCAACTGTAGATCATGACATACATAATCTCATCCAATGTTGGAAACTATCAAGGCAAAAGTCAATATCCAACTATCATATTTTATTGTGGAGAAAATCATCACAGTTCAAGAATTTCAGGCTGAATACCTGGAAGTGCAACCTGGGCAAGAATGGAGGACATCATGCAAGAACAGATCACACTCGAAACAGAAATACTGTGTGCATTTTGGGCATCTATAGAGTGCTTTATCAGTCAACACCTTGTTACAACCAGTGCAAGGGCTGTTGGGGGGCAAGCTGACAGAAGAGACTTCCTCAAATGCAGGAAGGGGAAAGAGATGATGATACGACCGTGCAAGGTGCGGAGCAGAGACCAGGGTCAGGCCACAGACACGGCATTCCACAGGAATGTGACAGTATTTGCTTGAGCACTGGGGGCACAGATATCCAGGATTTGAGAGGCCAACTGTGGGATCTTTGGCTTCCAAATGACACATACAAAGAGCAAGATGCTGCTCAGAGGTTGAGGCTTCGTGAGGAAAACCCATACGGATGAGTGAAGAATCCATGCTGCCAGCTGCAGGGGGTGGAATCACATGATTCAAGATCAAGGTCCTAAGGTGGACATCATCAACTATCACACTGTATTCTCCACCTGTCTCCTTGCACAATGTCCGACAGATCCTCACTTCAGCAGCCAGACCTACAATCGAGACACGAATGTTGTAGGATTTTAGGGTCTGAATGGTCTTCTTGAGATCTCCAGGGTCACATGTCGTGAGACTCCCAAAGATAATTAGGATTTCCCGACTTGCATGACTGGGCATATGCTGTAGGGATTGGGCTGCCAATTCCAGTGCATTTTGTAATGAAGGTTCCCCAGAGCAGATGGTAGTTGAAAGCTTCGTGAGTTCCTGCAAATGCTTCCTGGGATTGCCAGCCAACTGGCTCAATATCTCAGCCCTCTTATTCTTCATGGTGATGATGCCAAGCTGACTGATGGGATTCTGGTCAAAATACTCCTCAAGAAAGCTTTCAAGGATTTTCAGGGAGCACAGGAGGCGAGAGGGCTTCAGGTCAGGATCATTCATAGTTTCTGAAAGATCCAGGATGAGATAGAGGTGGCGCATCATCCCAAGGCGGATGTTGCCCTGCCGATCGAGCATTCGTTTCCGCCTTGCACGCTGGATGATGTCCATCACTGAGGTCTCGATCAGACCTTCCACGTCTTCCTGGATTGCCTCCCATGTCTTCTCGTACCCACTCTCCCAACGATACTCCTTGTCTTCTCCTTCGTTGGCCATGATGTGAATTGAAACTGATTTCTTCACCTGTTCAAAAATAATCATTCCATATAACAGATCTAAACTCCTTCTTCTATGTAGAACCTCTAAGCTCAAATTCAGAGGGTTTCATATGAGGCAACCAGGAGTTTCAAACCCAAGAGCTGAATTACTAGCTCCCTTGCCTGCTAAAAGCCATCTCTTGAAAAAGTATACTGAGCAGTGAAGACAACCTGCACCTTGGTATTATGCAATTCTTCACTTTTTTTGCCAGCTACATTAGTTTGTGCATGAGAGTTCTTGATGGAAATTGCTAATTATAACAAGCTGTGTCCTGCACTTATACTGCACTAAAAAATAATATATAAATCTCATAGAAACCTGCACCATGGCATATATAGTCTTAGTATCATGGCAGGAATGTCTGAAAGGACAGAAAGGCAACATTAGCTCAGTGAAAATACCTGACTCCTTGAAATGTGCGATATTTTTCTGTTCTATAATAACATTCAAAATTCTCTAAGTGTTGGAATGATACATACAATCCCAAGGGAAAGAGATCTTCATTGTGCAAAATAAATATTACCCACTTGCAATCACAATAGCCCTGTATGGAGGAAGTTGCTATAAAATAAGATTCTGGAGTATCACACGTATCACCTCTTAACAACTATCTCACACCATTCTGGATACCAGTTAAACAGATCTTTGAGGCATTTTCGCATCAAAATTATTTTCATCAACCTGAGCAATTCAATTCACTCAATCAAAAATCAGATCTAGAATTGTAATCAGGTGACTATCAAGAAGTGAATTTGATTGTACCAATAGACTTAGAAGAAAGCGTATAAGTAACAAACGATGCTAAACAAAGCCTTACGACTCAAAAAAGTTCATGTTGAACAGATACCATGAATGAAGCTATGGAACCTCAATTCTAAGAATATTTCTAGCATGAAATTGAAAAGGCACATACACATATCAAACATAAACAATATGAGAGTGCCACATCAAGTCTCACAACTGGAAAATCTAGAGACAAACAAATTGCTTCATGCAAGGATGCTGATGATTTGGGTCTTACAACCAGAAGCATAGGGTATATAAAAATAGGTGGATGGCAACCAAAGGCACTAGAAAAGGCAATGAAGGTCTTTGAAATTCAAAACAAAACACATTGAGGTGAATTCTATAGCACCCAGCATAGATTCCTCATATACAAAACAGAAGTTAAGCAAGATAAGATACTGCATGTTGTTTGAGATACAAGGATTGCTTGAGAACCATATTGATAAATTCCCACTAATATCAAAAGATAATTACTCCCATATCAAGGAAAACTAATGCCCAAATATATATCTCTGAGATGCAGAACATCCCACTAAGAAAATGAAGAGCCAGGCATTTGAATAACATCATATGTGAACATTGTGTGTTGAGTCATCTGTACATTGTGTGTTGAGTCATCTGTGAAGATAGAAAATTCATGAGAAATTTCTATGTTCTTTCTGCCTCCTTCTTGAGCATCACATAAATCCTCTCCTTGATCCAGGCTCGATCAAATGGAGCATATGTGTTGGTATGGTCCTGGTAACTGGAAACAAAATCATGAAGGGGATTTCAATGGTGTCATATAATGGGATAACTTCACCCACAATTCATGAGTCTGACAGACTCTCTTGACAAAATCCCCAGGTAACTATTAAGAGAGAAAAAAAATTACATGTCCATCATTTATTTCACCTCCTCACAAAGATTGTCTCCTTTAAGCTTCAAGTGCTCTATTTGTAGTAGGAACTTTGATATTGAATTTTAACCCTTTGGGGTCTGAGTATTTTGGATAAGTCAGCACTGCCATCCAAGTTTTTCCATCCCCTCATCATGAGGCCAACATGAGATAACTTGGGCGTGGACCCCAAAGGGTTAAATTATGGCACAGCACAGATCAGATCAGATGCTGGGAGATTCAACTTGGGAGAGAAATGCAAGAAATTTGTCTCATAAATGTAGAGCATGAAACTCACACAAGGCAGCACAGATCTGGGAGTTCATCAAGATAATTGAACAACTGTGACAAATCATAGGAGATTCTGGGAGACTCTCTATTCATCCACTTTAAGTGGTCCTCATATATCTTGATAACACCTGAAAATGAAGGTACTGATCAAATACCTACAGACATGCAACATGAACAAGACACATAATGAAACAAATAACTGGATTTGGTTTAGGTTATTTTTTTAACTTCCAATCATTTAATGTACCTCACACTTAGGGAACGTAGACAGTAGCCTTTCAGCAAAGCATACCAAGATCAAAATAAAAATAGAGACACACCAGCATCACAACAAGGGAAATCCACCATATCCTTTCCAACCCCTTATTAGAAGATACCTCATAAAAGCAGAACTCACATTGCCTAAAACAAGTGGAAAATCAAGTTAAAAGAAGGGATAAGTTGTAAATAGGACTGGTGAACCAAAGAACACCATGCATGACAAATAAATTTAAAAAAATCATTTTTGACTGCTCATTTCACAACTTACCTTCAATTGCACTGTGAACATTGCTATAGTGACTCCAAGTTCTCTTTTGACCTCCAATGCACTTCTCCACCAGTAAGATTGTGTGAGGCTACAAAATAAAAATATGCAAAAAGAAAGGTGAATGAAAAGAGACTAGTAGATTGCAATCATACCAGAGACCTCTATCACACTAATGTCATGGTAAGAGTAGGGAGTAGGACTACCCAGGCAATGATGCAGAGTGGATGCTATATCAGCCTTTAAATGATTGTTATATTTTTTATGAACAAGGTCATTTATAAGCCATACAATATTTGTTTTGGCACAATTCAAGTTGGAAAGCACTGAATTCAGCTCAAGGTGAAGTTAATACATTTTCCCAAGGGTCAGGTTAAATTTAGTTCATGCTTGAGGAAGAAGGAATTCCGATAAAGAAAAATGTGGACATGGTTTCCTGCAAAGAAAGTAAAGTTGTTCCAACCATATTTGCTCCTCCCAGTGATCTGCTTTCCTAACAGTCATTTATCTGCCACATAAGTTTCCTGCACAAAGTCCTTGCAATAGCTTGCAAAGTAAGTCAATTGTATCCCTCAATGTAATAGAGAGAGAGTCCTTGCCCCTCCAAGGTTTGTGCCAAAATGAGGTACTGATTAAATTTCTCTCAGGGTTTCCATTTTCTTTGGAGTTGTCTACAACTGAATATGAGAGATGTGTGGCTATTCTAGAAAGATCACTTCCTATCAGACTAAGTAACCAGATCATTTCTCATCACCAGGGACAATTTCTGGTTTGATACTCTCTCCTGATATAATCTATCATAGCATGTTGTTCTAGCTGGAATTAGATAGCCAGAATTAGATGGGGATAGCATGGGTCTTTCCCTTGACAGGGAATATGAGAAATTGAATGTTTTGAGTCAAATTTCCCCCAGAGAAACACAGCAAATTCAAGATCATGGAAATGAATGGAAATTAATCATGGAAATCATCAATTTCAGCCATTAATGCTGAATAAAAATAAAAATAAGGTCACAATAAGCACATTCATCAAACAATCTGAAACCAGCAGTTGACAGGCCATATATATGAGCTAAAATTGGGATTTTTTAATTCAATGATTTCCCTTTTCTTGTCATTTTTACTTTGTATCTGATGAAAAAATGTTAATATTGGAAAAACACAGTTCCTTGTTCTAGAGTAGAAAACTGTCATGCTATTTCTGTTGATGAGTATATTCTGTTGCATTCCCTCTTTTCCTCACTGTCAATGGATAGTTTCTCCTAACATAGGGATAGCTCAAAGTGTATTAAATCCCTCTAAATGTTGTGACTAGTCCTTACAAAATTGAAAAATGATAGAATCACCTACAAAAACATGCATCTTTTTCACACATCACACATGAAGGAGGGAAAAGAAGCTCACCATTTTTAATTCATGACAGTTGGTTGTCCCACCTGAATTACTCCAGGTTATGCAATAAGATGGTGAATTGATAATACCAAACTCATCTCATAAAATCTTCCAAAGCATATATTCTGCAAGTTAATTCTATGAAAAATTGCAACAAAAAAATACAGATACCAGCACCTGCAAAAGAAAGGAATAACAGAAATTGAATGCCATGAAACCAATACCCATTCAAAAAATCCATCTTTTGTCACAGCAGAACAATTAGATATTGAGACATTTCTGTCAGCAGTTCCTTTCTCATAGGCCTTGCATAAGCAAATTCTAGAATAGCCAATATAGACAGATGGAGTATGGTAGAGAAGCCAAACCTGACACAATTACATAAAAATTGATTTCACCAAGTGAAATGGGCAGAAGGTGGAAAGTTCAACATATAATACATTTTAAAAAGCTGTACACATGAAAAAATAAAGAAGTGCCCTTCACAGGTGAGTCTGAATCAGATTTCCAGAGTTCAATTTGGTTGAATATTACCTGAATTATGCTTGCTTCAACACCTAACCATTTGGTCAAGGGCTTTGTTCATCTCTGCTACTCCAATAAAAAAATATGACACACAGGATACTTTGCTTTCCATCTCTTGTAATAGGATCTATTAGCACATTTACTGCCAAGTTTGACTCTTGCTGATTTGCAAAACTCCTTCTAAGAATGCCATCATTGACTAAGGTAGATTTTAAATGTCATGCACAATTAACACCTTAAAATGCCCAGAGATGACATGGAAGCTGATGTTGCTGGCATCCTAATTCTTCTCAGACACCATCCAACACTCACAACATTGCTTTGCATTTTCCCACCCCTCTAGTTACCCACAATACTACACTTTGTTCACCAGCTTCTGCAGACAAGCCACAGGTTACAGCCATGTGCTCTAAATACATGATAGAGGAAGAAATTAAGGAAGATCTTTCAAATTATACTGGTGCTGATATTGATTTTATGCCAGAATATGACTTAGGTTCCTCATCTATTCAGGGTGAGGAAGTTGACAGTGGTGCAGGTACATCCCACCCAAAGGAAAGGACAAACATCTACAAGAAATTGTTGAGTGTGCATGCAGATCGACAAGAAAAATTAAGCCAAATTTTTGTACATTCTGTGTAGAGTTTCATTGCATTACACATGGTATCACACCCTGAGGGCATACTAAGTAAGAATTTCAAATTTCAGATTTTTAACTCTAGTAAATTTACTCCTGCACATTCGTTGCTGAGACTTTGCCAATGAGAGGAAGCCAAGGAAGAAAACGGAAGAAAACGTTATGGAAAACCCTATATATATTATACAACCCTATATATATATAAAGAGATACCCTATGTATATTCATTCATTTCTCACATAGGCCCAGGCATAAGGTAACAAAAGATATGTCTATAATGTCTCCAATTTCTTGAAGGTTCTTTCCTTCATAGTTATTAACTAAGGACAATTTTTAGATTATCTCACCAGTATGTAAGTAGATATCATAAAGTTAAAAAAAAATATGGTAAATATGCTCCTTCCACTGATCACATGGCCACGCCTGGAAATACCCCTGACATGTCAAGTAACGATTATTAGCACTAAATGAGCAACATCCAGTGGAACAGATACAAACACTAGTTCAGTCCACAAGCAAGACAAACGATGCACAAAAATTAGCATCTAGCTCTTCTTTGGATTGAAAGGATCAATCTTTGGTTTTTCAAGCCTACCTAGGCCTATGTTATACACCTTCTATCAACATCCTTCATTATACATTTTCTATTCTTTCCATGGCAACCTCAGCTAGTCTGAGACTCCCAGGCTTAGGTACACAGTTCTCCCACTCGAGTGCGTTCGTACGCCAGTCAGGCAAACAATCGTTGCCTTCACTGGATCAGTTATTCATTCAGATTTTCCTGATTATGGTCCGAGCTCAAGGAACACGATGCCTGCGACCGGGCTAAGATATTTATCATGCGAGATTCCATGATCGAACAGTGACGTTCGAGGGTTTCTTTGTTCATTTTGTCCCAATGAGGTAACGTTTTCAGTGTTTCAGTTATAATTTTATTGGTGGGGGCGTAATGATTCGAAGGTCGAGAAGGAAAAAATAAATTAATGCCCAGAAAATAAAATACAGAAAAAAGTTTTTAATTATATTTTTTATTTAAAAAAAAAGCACCGACACAGTCAACAAAAGAAACAGCCTCCATTAAATATTAGGGAGAAAATTCATTTCGGAAAATAAATAAAAGTTTCATAGGGAATGCTGGCCAAGAGTCCCAGCGCATGGAGCACTAGGAAACGTAGACTCTGTGATTAAAAATGAGGGACACACTTGAGAAGATATTTTTAGCGGATAATAGAATAATATCCGAAAAAATAATATCAAGATCTCACAGCAGTCGAAAGAGGACGATATTCGGAATTACTGATCCGAAGGGCACTGTTCTAGCCCCCGCAAATAACGCACAACTCGGCGTGAAACGAGAGAGAATGCAGTGAACGGAGACTGGATGGAATGAACTCGATCAGATCACAGTCACCACGTAAGGGTATGGGATGGAAGGGCGAGGTCCCCTAGCAACCCCCCCCCCCATGTTTTTTAGAAGTCGGCGCCTATGGATTTAGCAACACCAGCATGCAACAGTGCTTCCGCGTCTTCGAGTGCGAGTGGGCTGGGGCGATTCCCAACGCGAATTTTCGAGTTTGCTGGCACGGTGGCAACGATCGTTCGACACGGACCGAAACTCACTTTTACAAACTCAGTCCTCTTTTGATCGGTATGCAGCAATCTGTCGTCTAATATTAAGCGTTACAAATATAAATACAGTAATGCCCTCCAAAAGCCTTGCGACAATTTTTCATGGTCAAAATGATCATTTGTGAACTGTGTCATCTGCGAACATTTTTATATTCACAGTCAACTTAATCTGTTACTTTTGCGAAGCGACCGTTCGCGTCACGATTTGACCCGTTGTTTGTCCGAAATTCGCCTCGGAATTCCGTTTCGGTTTTTCACCGTGGAACGATTAAAATCCATCCCCTAACCCATCCCTGGCAAGCCTGCTTCTCCTTTTCGCTTTTCCACGATACAAAATCTCGGTACCTCATCGACAGAGGAAAGAAAGCCTAATCAGACGGCTTATTCCCCGAATCGTCTTGCCAGAAATGAATTCCGGCCCGTGTCCCACGAGGCCTCTCTCCGGCTCACGAGACAAACTGCCCGAGGAAGATGAGCGGTCGGGAAGGAACGAGGAAAACTCCTCAAGCCCTTTTGAGACTTCAACCTCACCCGTCCCATAGTTCAAATAGCCCCTTCTCTTTCCAAAATTTACATTTTTTTTTGCTTGAAAAGAGACATGGGTCAAGGACTGGCTTTGAGTTAGTCATAATTTAGTGGGTGAAAGCTACTCCTGAATTGGTACTCCTGGGGTCATATTTTCAAAGGGCTACTAGCAAGTTAGTAGTTACTAAATAGCTACTAACCGTAAGAAAATTTTAGTAGGTCTTGGGGGGTTGTTTAAAAGGCTACTAATTCTCAGTCGGTCAGTTATAGACGTCTTACGTGCCATTGATGCAGAAGAACGTGAGCCATCAAATCAGTACTGGCCAAGAATATATTTGGACCATGGGAATCCTATTGAATTCTACAATGAGGACCAGTTCATAGCCAGGTTCAGACTTTCCAAAGACACGGTCATGGAATTAGTGAGATTACTACAAGGGGCCCTGAGTCGTGCGACTATGAGAAGTCACGCAATCCCCGTTCCACTGCAAGTGTGTGCATATTTTACGATTCATGGCAACAGGTCCTTTCCAGAGATGCGATGGTGACTTGACTGGACTGTCACAAAGTGCTGTCTGTGGTTGTGCAGTCTGTTGCTACGACTGTAGCACGTTTGCGCCCGCAGTTCATACATTTTCCAACGACAGAACAAGAATTCGAAAGGAAAATGGAGGACTTCGCTCAAAAACGCCGTTTTCCAGGCGTTTACGGAGTGATAGACGGCATACACATTCCCATCAAATCACCAGGTGAACTGTGCTGCTTAAATACACTGTACTCATAAACTGTTTTCATTGCTCGAAAAATATGAGTCTTAACGAAGAGAAAGATAGATTCATTTTTTAAGCGGGTTGAAAAACTTTTACTCTTAATAGCATTTTATCATCGTTGTAGATGGCGAAAATGCATCGAGATTAATGAATCGGAAAGAATTCATCTCCATCAACTGCCAAGTTATCTGTGATGCAGATCACTACATCACGGATATTGTCTTGCGATGGCCTGGCGGGACACACGACAGTCGGATCCTTCGAGTAAGTCGAAATTTATGATATTCTGAGTACTCGCAGAGGAAACGGGTATTTGCTAGGTGATGATGGCTATCCGTGCAAACCTTTCCTTTTGACTCCTTTCCGACAGCCTGACAATTGATGCCGAGAGGCCATCGAATAGGTTCACCGGATTGTCAAATTCATGTGGCAGGGTCATCATCACCATCATCAGCACTTCTCGATCCATTGCAGGATGAAGGCCTCCCCAAGAAGCTTCCATTTTTCCCGGTCCTCGGCTGTTCGTTTCCACATTAGTCCAGCGAATTTCTTGATTTCGTCAATCCATCTCGTGTGGGGGCGTCGTTTAGGTCTCTTCTTATCCCTTGGTATCCAGTTGAGGATTTCCATCGTCCATCGCTGGTCTGTTCTTCTTGCAATGTGGCCAGCCCACTGCCGTTTGAGTTTTTTCGTTCTTTCGATGATGTCGCTCTCTTTCGTCTGTGCTCTGACCCATTCCTTCTTTTTCCTGTCTCTTCTTGTGACTCCCAGCATGCACCTCTCCATGCTGCTCCATGCTCCAATCGTCTGAAGTTTCTTTATCATTTTTGCCGTCAGTGTCCATGTCTCACATCCGTATGTGAGAACGGGAAGTACACATCGGTCGAAGACTCTTCTCTTGAGGCGGATAGGCAGGTCGCCCTTGAAGATCGAGTTGAGGCGTCCGAAAGCGCTCCATCCCATCTTCACTCTTCTCTTGATTTCCCCTGCAATTCTGCTGTCTGAAGATATTTGCTGTCCTAAGTAGATGTAGTCGTCGACTTGTTGAAGTTTGTTGTCATTAACTTCGATTTCTTTGGGTCTGACATGTG